ACGTATTCCCAACCGTTATTGTATAAGTATTAAAATAAAAACACGTCTCATGTATACAAAAACTTTTTAAGGAGAAAATACTTAGAGATTTTACAAAACTCATCTTGCTACTAATTTCAAAGGTATTTTTCATACAACCTGCGCATGCGCACCGACGCACCGTAGCTGTACGCACGTCGCACGTGACAAAATCTTTCGATTTTCCCACAAGTGTTTACCTCTTAAGTAGGTACTCGTTACTTTATCTAAAGCAGGTGTCACTTACAAACAAAAAAGTTTCAAAATAAACCGCAACCTCGTAAAACTGTTAACTAAATAAACTCGTGAACGCGTTAATCTGGTTTAAGAACATCTGTAGTAGGTTAGGGGATGATGTTTTATCATTGTTTTGTCGCTAAGAACTGGTAAGAAGGTACTATAAGAATTAAATTTAGGATATGTGGATAGGAGAATGTAGCAAAAGGTTTTGAGTATTGACTGCAAGATTGGCGCAGTGGCTACGCAACTGACTGTCGTGAAACGTATCGATTCCGGAACTCAACAACTCGATGTGCGCTTTACAAATTTTTGTTCCAGGTCTAGGAAGGTCTAGGTGTGACGTGTATGTCAAATTGTATGTATTAAAACGCACCCACGGTACAAGAAAATATCATAGAGGGAGGAAAAGCTTTTTTTGAATACCTACCTACTTAATTTTCATAAGTAACGTACTTATCTCAAAAATATTAAATTAATTATCTAATAAACCTACTCGTAGTACCTAAAGAATTTCAAAACCTATTTCATTATTTAAAAAAGGAATCCGGCTTAACCAATTGGATATGTGTGTCATACTAGTGCAGGTAGGTAATGGCTTTCACACTTTCATGACCTAATTTTAACTTAGGTAGAAGCTTTATTGACTAAACAATAATTGCCCTTACGACCATAGTAGGTACTAAACATAAAGAGTTAATAAATATATGAATAAATAAATAATATCTGGAGTACCTATCTGTAGACTTGACTGACACAAATAGAGCTGTGATAAAATACTTTGACTTTTTCTGTTTACTATATCCGCTGTTATCTTTACGTGAGAAACTTGCGATAACGGTACGACTAGGTACTTCGTTTTATGAATGAATCTTAATTGCTAGTTAGGAAATCCCACGGGCTCCCGCCAGATGTTGAACTTCCAAGTCCTGAGAAAGCGCCCCGCGATAGTTTTGGTAATATTTTTTTATTATTCAAACAAAAACGGCTTTAGGTAACTTATCCATTGTTTGTGTTCCCCAATACAATTGCAGTCCACATGTTTTATTTTGCCATAAAGCTAATATTTTAGCCACTAAATAAGGCAGTACCTACCTACAGTAGTGTGAATTTATTGTTTCGAACTTCACTCTATTAGCGTAAAGTATTAAAGTTATTAACCACACCAATATCTATTCAATTGGTTACGCATAGTATTATGTATTTATTCTCATTTAATTGAGTAATTTCCGCAGGTAAAAAGTCAACTTATAAAACAATAAAAATGCCTCAAAATAACCACACCATCGTTCACACATTTTGATATAAGTATTACTTACAGGTAGGTACATAACTTAAGCCCTTGACTGCCGACAGAAAAGCAAACTATTGAAGGCAAATCTTCCGCTGCCGGTGGGCACAGCGGTGACCTCCGTGGAGGCTAACGTGTTAAATTTTGATTTCGAATTCAAAAGAAGAAGAAAAAAGCGTAGGTACTGTTTACTTCAAAATAATAATGACGTCACAACGTGCTATTTCATAGAAATAAAAACTTATGTGACATTTCAGAAAAAGTATTGTATTTGACTAGATGGAAACTATCCTATTTTCCACGCATTATATACTTACACGTTTCTTAAACTTTTATTAGTGCACTAATTATGTTTTATGTTATGTCAATTGATCCTACCAACAAAAAAATTATTAGCAAAAGAGTTTTATAATGTAATGAGGCAATGTATAGCGTAAATAGCTCTATTAGTCTATGGATAGGTATCATTCTTCGTAGAATGCATTTATCTTTGTAATAACTCGTTATATTTAGAGTTTGGATAATGAAGCTATTAATATTTTGTCGGGTAGGTACGTCACCAGTGTGGTAACTATTCCCGAAATATATTAAAACTCCGTCATCGCATGGCGTCTCTTCCCCCCTTTTCGTCCTTTAAACGGTCGAAATTCAAATTTTAGAATCCGATTGGTCAACTTGCCTTGATGTTTGGATAGGTAAAAGGTAGGTTCTTTAAACATTTTAAAGAATGTACTTATGTATTTTAAACGTATAGGGTTTGATAGGACATCCGAAAAACTGTTTATACATATATGTAGGTCGGCCTATCTATTCAACTAACTAAGTACGGTACCGAAACTCCAAACTACGTCTATAAGATACCTATATCAGCATTTATTTTATTACATAGGTACTAGCAACCCACCCGTTTTTGTACGGGTGAAATGTTGAATACCGACTTAATTTTATTATACTTGTATTATACCTACAAATGAACCATTCCTCCTCCATCACTCAATTTTTTTTAAAACCGCTTCATCTATCCGTCCCGTAGATAGAGACAGAGAAATAATGTTAATTTTTATATTATTTTGTTTTTTTATCGTAATTTATACATTTAATTCATTTTGTTTGCTTAGTACCTACTAGAATAAATATTCAACTACTCGTGCTCAAGTTTCTTTTATAAGATTCCATCCAGTAAATGGTTGTAAGGATAAAACCGCCCATTGTATTCACTAGGTAGGTGCTCTTCTACCTATTGTATCTACTATCCACCATACGTCCTTTTTTGTGTAGGTAGGTAGTTAACCTATGTGTGCAACACAGTGGATATGTAAAAGGATTGAATGGATAGACATGGTATTTAAAACGTAATTTTGCCAAAAAATATATTGCTAGCCAGGAAAGGTTTAACAGAACGCAAAATTGTGGTGGTAGGTAGGTAGGTACTACAACTAGGTACTAGGTAGGCATTAAGAAATGAAGCTAGAAAATTCCACAGTGATGATTAGCTTTCGTTGGAAGCTCGAAGAAATATGGCAAGATGACTCATAGGACATCCGCTTACAGACACAAAACTTTTCATCGTTGTAGGTAACTAAGTTTTCAGTTTCAATGAAATTATGCATGCACGATGCACATTTTGGTTTATTTGTAACAAATAAGTACCTGCAACACATTGTTACCGAAAACAAAATGGTTATGTGGATTTTGCTAGTTTTCTTTATAATACCTGGCTATTTAGATGTAAGTAGGTTGTAAACCAATAAAACATAGACGGTCGCTTAAAGATAAAACGCATAGGTCACAGATAGTTATTATATAGTAATAATTTCTGCCTTATAATAACTTATATAACAGATAGTTATATAAGTTATTATAAGGCAGAAATTAAGAACCTCTTTCAATCCAGACTTTCTTTATAAAGTCTGAACAAGTACCTAATGTCAAAAATTTAATCTTAACCGATCTTAACTGATCGGTTATTAGATACTTTTGCCGTTATAGAACAACCATTGGACAGAGTGATACAGTTTATAAATAGAAATGGTGGTTACAAATTGGCATCTTGAATTAGAGTAGAATCTATCAAAATACTTTGACTGTAGATTGTTTGATGGAAACCTTACAAAATTAATATTCGTAAAAAGAAAATGGTTTTCTTCTTATTTAAAATTATAGAAATGGGATTCCAGTGCACTTCCACGCTTGTAATTTTGACTGAAAGGGAGGATTTATTTTAAATTAAGAATATGATAATTGTAGAAGAAATAGCTGTATCCTTCATACGAAAATACAAGTTTAAGTTAGGAACTTTTTAACATAACGTAGATTCTGAGATAAGTACGAAAATCAGATTTTTCGTTACTCGTACAGTCGTACACCTAAATAACTAACCGTAGTTTCAGTTTGGGACCATCACAGAAATCCTGAGAAGTTTTGATATACCGACTTTCAGCTTCGAAAACAGGACGTACGTTTATATTATGGCGATTTTAAACGTATAGGTACCTACCTACTTACTTAATTAGAAATTATAAGTCTAGATTTCCTCACGATGTGTTCCTTTCACCTTACGTCAGTGATGTCTAAATAATCATAATATGGATATTAAATATTTATATCTAGTGTTTCAGTGTTTGTTATAGAGTAACACAAATTGTCAGCTACACCTAACACTGTACAGACTCCCTACCTATCGTAGTTAGTAAGATAAATAAATTAAATATTTATGATATAGTGAAGGCATTGCTTGGCACGGCCGTGGGACCGATCCTGGGATCATTGCGTCATGGATATTTTTAGTAGCGGCGGGACGACGCGTCACAAAAAATCTTACAAGGAAGGGTGGCGCCATATATCAAGTTATAGGTGGGATTAGTGCTTCAGTGTTCTTCAAAACTGGCATAATTAACGCATTTTCAAACTTAACGGTTTTGTTTGAGTTTCTGAAACATGTCGGTCTATCTACCATATTTATTTTTGAATAAAGATATAATTTTTCAGAAGTTCCTAATTTTTCTATAAAACTATAAGTAAGAAGATATATTTCGCAAATAATTAGGAACTCCTAAAAATGGTTTATTGTGATCGCGCATCCTTTAATTCTGTAAAATAAATTACTTATTAAACCGTCACAGTACATTGAGTAGCCATCAATATGACACTGGTCGACTGAAACAGCCCTCACAGGATGCGCGATCACCGATGCGATCGGCTATGGCGTCCGAACTCCATACATATACCTATGTATGTGGTAAATACAGTGCTGAGATGATGGACAAGATAAACAGAAAGCGATCAACACATTTTAGTATCGCTGTCTCTGTCTCCCGCACGGCGCAGCCAGGAGGCGGCGCGCTGGGAGGCCCAATGAAGTCGCACCGCGGTGGAGATGGTTATTTTTTTGTATCTTGTCAATGAAGGGACGGGTAGGGGCGGGCCGGCGCGGGCGCAGGACTCAGTGCCGTCGCTGCAGTCTGGCTGCGCTTATCACTCGCGCATGTTTGTCCGAGACGCGTGTTCTGTTTCTTAAAGTGACATTATGAATTACGAAAGCCGTGATAATCGACCAATGCTAATAAAGCTCGAGGAAGATCTTGAGTACCCGGAGGATGAAGAGCATTACTACGGGTACGCGCCGGTTGAAGTTGAGCGGCACGCTGAGCCGGCGGGATTCGCACCTTCCTCGCCAACACACCTGATGGACCTCAGCAACGGGTCGGAACGACCCACACAACAACATCCTTGGCCGTCAAGCGTAGTGTTCGACGGAGAGGACCGAGACTACCAACAACCATCTTACACGTCCTTCGAACAACAGTTCATCGATCAACGACAAAGACAAGTCCCAAGAAGCTACTACTTTGATGATTCCAATTCTCAAGACAGAGTTCGGAGTTACTACGAGCCGGGTGATATGCCAAAGATGGGAGAGGGTTACAGAGGTACCGACGACAGGAGAGAGGAGACGGAAGAACAAAGGAGGTCGAGGAAGAGATCCAAAGCTTCACGAAAGAAGACACAGTCGTTTGAAGAGATGCAGATACAGCGAGTGATGGCTAACGTGAGGGAGCGTCAGCGCACACAGAGTTTGAACGAGGCGTTCGCGAGCTTGCGGCAGATCATCCCTTCGCTGCCGAGCGATAAGTTGTCTAAGATACAAACTCTGCAGCTGGCGACGCAGTACATAGAATTCCTGTATCAAATCCTGTCGAATAGTGAATCGGCGGGAAGCAGTGATTCCAACAGCGACGCGGGCAGCGAGCATGGCAAGTACCTCGCGCAAGACAAATTAAGTTACGCCTTCTCCGTGTGGAGAATGGAGGGAGAGTGGACACACGGACAGACGTGATACACTTTCCATACAGTGTACGCCTAGTGATACTGAAAAGACGCTTATATTATTCCATTGTAGGTATTATTGATTCTGTGTTAAGTGATGTGTAAATCGTGAACAAATTAGTTATTAATTAATATTAGTAAGTTGAATATGTGATAGTTAATTAAGTGGATAGGGACTTGCGCTGGTTAGAAGCAGGCACTAACTGTTGATATTTATATTAAATGTAAAACAAAGACGATGTTTAGAATTAATGATTTATTTGATTAAAATTGTAGTGGCAACAATACATACAGCTGTATACCAAAAACTCGAGTAACAATGTGCCATTTCTAGGATATTTGATTAAACTTCCAATAAAAATTATTTCATATAAAATATCACGCGCATTTTCATTTCGTACGCTATATTAGACACCATCAAAACACTAAATCGCCATGATATTGATATTTGATTGTGGTATTTAAATTAAATACAAACATGGTCGGTTTAATTGTTATTTATAAAATATACAACAAGCTTATAAACGCAATAACATTTTAACTAATGTGCGTTATGACATCACGACTTCCACACAGTATTGTCTCACATTATATTTATTTACAATAACATACATACATACATACATACATATTTACAATAAACAATTAGCTTAATAAATCAGTAAAAATAATAACTGCACAGCATTAATTTACTTTATTTAGTCTATGAAATATACAAATGTCAAGAATTTAAAAATAGAAGGAATTACAATGCTAGTTGAATTTAAATATAGATTTAGAATTTAGATTGAAAAAAAAAAATGTAGTAGGTAGTTAAAGTTTAATTTCTATTTGAAGCATCTAGATATGTAATAGGTACTCTTTTTTTAAATATTTTTATTTGTTTTCGTTCAAGAGATAAAGATGGGTGATTCCTAAATCTCCGAGTTAAGATAGATACAGGTTTTCTAATCAACTATAAAAAACAGTATTACAATATGTTATAAACTTGATAAAAGACCTTATTAATTAACCCGATTAGGTACCGGTTTATGCTGTGCATTAAGTTATAGTCAAATGTAATAAAACCCAAATGCCTAAAATATTTTCTATGTAATGGATTCGTTGTTACTTTAAAAAGGTATCGTTATTTTGGCTTCATCTAACTACACCTTATAGAGTTAAGGCTAACTATTTATTAGGTTAATAATATGAGATTCTATTTATCGATCAACATCAGCTCTGAAAATATGTAAGTATATCGGAGTCATTCGGAGTAAAGCATCTTCATGGTGGATAAACTCTTATGGAATTGTGGGTAAGTCCATGAAAATATTTTATACTATTACACTATCACATTTTCTGTATAAAATATAGTGTCATATTTTTAGGTGCCTGGTTGAAAATGTCTGTCCGAATTCCCAATACTATACCCCGATATCAGACTTATATATACTTTTATATATATACGATACTTTTTCAAGCGTTACACCAATCACCCGGATAATTAGAAAAAAAGACGCGTTCACCCTGTACTGTATATTATTTTGACTGATGTATCAATATTATACTATCAAACACGCAGTCCTATAAAAGGGCAAGTATTTGATCCTAGGGATATCCTTTAGCAATTATTAATTAAAAACTAGTTTCCTAGTTGCTTCATTACTTAGTATAGATAATAAATTTCATCTACACATGAGACAACTGCTGATAATTCTTTGACATTTTCAAAAAGAAATAAAAAATAATGTTATATTTTTAATAATACATCGGTACACGTGGTATTTTCAACAAATAGAAAAGAATGAAAATTCATGATAACGCCTATGTGCTTTTTGTTCCTATTCTATCTATCTCTATCTACAACTTAGTTCAGTACATATGTTTGTATTAGTTGCATGGACTCTGCTTTAAATTATCACTTTGGACTATCCAAAACGGACATCGTGTATAGCATCAAATTGAACTCTATTGCATTCAAATAAGGCCTACGTGATCTATGAGTATCTACAACTATATCACTAGTTTTAAATTTAATGTTATTGTGATTCTACAATGAAATAAGTAGTAAAAACATTTCTTTTGTTGGCTTAAAAAGGATTTATTTGGGACTAGAACATTTAGGTTGGTTTAGGTTAAATATTAGTTTTGTATTAATTATGTAGATAAGGGTCAAAATACCCAGTGAGCAGGTATTAGCCAGTAAACAAAAGCTTTTGGTAGGTAAGTTCTTTATGTCGTAAATGGCTCCTGGCCTCCCGGATTACCCATTATTTACAAATGAGTCATCGGATTTGACCGAAATAAATCCCGTAATAATCACCATAACTATAATAAAATTACTGACCTTGAAACAGCTTAAGGTGATTTGCTGTTTTGTTTTTTAAAGTGAGACACTCTATATGACACTAATTTTTTTATTCATATATAGGTAGAGCGGTGTTATTACCAAACATAATAACAATAATAATTCAGAAATACCTAAATAGGTACTTATTGTATATCAGAATTTTTTGTTTTCATAATTTATTATTAGTTACAATATTATGGGTGTCTCTAGGTGTTCGATCAAAGGCGTTGCACCAAAGGGGCTCTGGAGTTGGTCTATCAGAGGTCCCGGTGTCCCTTATAGGTGTTGATGGTGGCCACCGGGGAGGTTTTAGTGAGGTTAAAATCCCACACTCTCAGTCCCACAGTCTTTTTCCCCAAAAGCTAGGCGCCTTTAGAAGTTTTCCCCCGTTAACAAAAAAAAGGTGTTCGATCAAAAGCAAATTCCGTTTATGATTATAAAGCTTAAAATACAGATTATAATTTTTAAACCAAGTACCTATTCAAATAAATAGCACTGAAACTGATACTTTATATTAGTATCCTAAGTAAAAACATTTTAAAGTCATTTGAACAAGAGGTATTCTTCAATTCAACGCTGTTCTTATATCCATTTAATTTTCTTTTTTTAGTATACCATTTGGAATCACAATAACACGTCTTCAACAAATATTACAAAAACTGACTTATTTACAAGACAAAAAATAACAATATAATTACTATTGTTGTTTTAAGGAACTATTAGTTCGTTGCTACTCATACCACTCATTCCCAGGTCTATCTGAAAACAAGAAATAACACAAAAATTAATTTCCTTTAATAATAAAACCTAAAAGCAAAGGGTAAGTTAAAGTACAATGTATATGACTGTATTCCATAGTAGTACAAAACAAAATTCAACATTTTGAGGAAACATACAATAAATATACACCTACGAAAACTAGTGCGCGCGCGCAAAGAACTTTTACCGACTGTATTTAATGGAATACATAGTTCATATTTGGTTTATATAATATACATCTACGTTATAGCTTCAGTTACCGGCAGTAACAGTTTTTAAATAAGTTTTGTTATCGTTTATTCAAAAACAACACTTACGCCACCAACTGGGAAGTTTATGAACGACCGAGTTGGGTCTTTAATGGATAAAATAAAGTACCTAATTTAGAACAAGAATTCGTTACTAACTCAAATTGCCTCCAATTTGACTTGTACCACTAATGTATTCAGTCATCGATATGATAACATAGGGGATCTGGGAAAAAAAGATTTAGTTGGTCCGATCCATTATCGAAAAATGTTAGGCAAGTCATCGTCATCATCATCAGCCTGTTGTCGTCCACTGCTGGACATAGGCCTCCCTAGCACGCCACTGAGCTCGTTAGGCAAGTATTGTTCGTTTTTTTATACCATAAAAAAACACAACACAAGTTATTAAAGTTTAAGAGTGAAGGTCGATACAATACGCTAAGTACAATATAATTATATATATCACTTACTTCATGTGTCAAATCTTTGTTGAGCGAATCCTGATTATGTTTTATCATCCAATCTTCTTCAGCCGGTATCTGTAAATAGCAAAATCAATTCTAATGTCGGCAAAATAAAAATACTAACATAAAGTTTGAGATTACTGATTAAATTTTTTGTTCCCTTGCTCAAGGAACGTCGGACAAAAAAAAATTTCTTAAAAACATAATCAGTCTGAAATCTGACAATAGGATGTTTCCAACCAATCAAATGAAATTGTGAGAGAGTCAAGCTTCGGTTTCGAAGGGTCAGCCGGGCAGGAATGATATCACAGCCTTACAGAAAAGCGGGGTGAAACATCCACAGCAATTTGGAAACATCGTTATAAGATACATAATTAGATGAAAGAAAGAAAGAAAATAAGGTGTTAGGTGTTTCATTTACGCGACTCAGTTAATTCGTTTCGCCTGAACGCTATTTATTTTGTGTCCGTCCGTCGTTTTATTTGTACTACATCGTAACAATGTTATTCTTATACATAGACTAGCCATTGATACGCTGCACATCGCACAAGATCTTATAATGCACAAGTATGTATGTATGTTTGTGCACTAATATAGAACAATCTTTGCCCCGCCTCCCCCTTTATAGTGGTTCCAAAATGCCTAGCGTGATTTAGCTTTACATAAACGCAATCAACATTTTCAATAAAAAATACAATTGACATTCTTTGACGTTGTCAACGTTCGGCGCTCTGATTGGCCCGCTTCAAATTGACTAACCAATCAGAGGGTTTAACGAGGAAATTTTGATCTAGCAACTTCGCACTGTAGGCGATTGAATGATATCGCAAATTGCGAATGAAAGATTTTAATTCTTCTTCTTATGTTATTTTTTTCTTATATTATTATTTACTAGCTTTTGCCCGCGACTCTGTTCAAGTGGAATAGTGACTTCCTGCAGATTTTTTGTATAAACACTATCCTATGTCCTTTCTCGAGTTCTAAACTATGTCAGTACAAAATTTTACAGAAATCGGTTCAGTAGTTCAGGCGTGAAGAAAAGACAGACAGAGTTCGCATGGATAATATTACTATAGATAGTATAGATTATTATCAATCTGAATAGGTCAAAGTCAAAGCATGTATTTCAAATAGGTGGCATATTTGGAAGGATTATCGGCAGTTTTGAACGTCAAAAAAATTAGAAAACAGAAAATGGGAAAAATAAAAAACAAAAAATTTTTTATTAAAAAAGAAAACGTTGCCCCACACTAGGATTTTCTCCTGTGTCGTGGGTGCGTTTACAAACATACAATTTCACATGCACATCACACCCAGACCCGGAACAACAATCTGTGAATCACACAAAGAGCTGTTCCGTGCGGGAATCGAACCCGCGACACGTCGCGCGGCAGCCAGTTGCCCAGCCACCGCGCCAACCGTGCAGTCAAACATAAGATCGCAGTTTTTTTTTTGTGAGGGGAAATGGGGCAGGAGGGAGTGTCAGACTCTTACTGACTAAAAACCCCCCCGTTCCTTCTCCTGCTCTGGGCCGAGGTCGCGGTGCCTCATTGCGCTTACCCCGCAACCCCGGCTGAACATCAGCCCTTTAGGGCCCCGTCTGTGGTGGTCGTATGGCTCTTTGAGGCGCGCGCGGAACGCTACGCGCCGTACGCTCGGGCCTGGTTCTGGTCGGGTGGCGAGCTGCCCTTACTCGCCGACCGCAGACTCGCGCTTACGGTGGCCGGAGATCGTCCCTCGATCCCCGACGCCCGTAGTGTCGCCAGTTGCGGCTGCTGGGGCGTGAGGAGGAGGATTGCTCCCTCACGCGGGCCGCCTCTCTCTTTACGAGCATGACTGCTTCACAAAAGGAGGAGACGGTGTCCCAGTTCCTCTCACTCCGCACCATGGCCTCGACTAAGGCCGGGCGGGAGAGATCGCCGCCGCCGATCACTTCCCTGAGGATACGGCGGTGCTCAGCCCAGGCAGGGCATACCGCTACCGTATGCTCCACCGTATCCTCTAGGTGGTCCTCACAATAAGATCGCAGTTTAAAGTTTAGATCTATTAAGGAACGTCGCTATCCGATCTGTCCTTGTATTACCTTAATTGATAAATGCATTTTTCTCAGTTTATCTGATTACTATACTTAATTTTATAAAGCTGTAGTGTGTGTTTGTTAGTTCGATCGCGTTTATCTACTAGCTCGAATTGATAAAATATTTTTGTTTCGGATACTTCATTTATCGGCCTTACGCTACGACTAACACGATCCGTGCTTTGCTGACTATCTTATTAATGTAGAAGCTAGCTATTTGACGTATAAGACTCACGCTACGTGACGGTGATGCTTCAGATTCTTGATCTTGGTTGTGCGCCTGCTGGACATGGTCTTTGAGGGCGAAGGCTCGAGCATAACTCGCTCCACAAATGTCGCACACGAACTTCAGGTTGTTCTGTCGCGAATGCGTCTCTGTGTGTACTCGTACCGCGTACAGCGATGCAAATGGCCTGGTAAATGGAAAATATTAAATAAATAGGATTGATACTTTATTGATTGCTTTACGAATAGGTGTATTGTTCTAATATTTTTGTATGGGTTGGGAACTTACATCTTGAGTTGGTGTTGATTGATACAAATACATGTGATTTATTATATTTATATAATTATAATTGCAAGAAAGATGAGTGCGGTAAGATTGCTATTCGGGTACTTAATTCACCGGCTCGGCGCAGATAAAATCAAATCCGCCTTATTGTCAAATTGTGCTGTGCTTGCACTGAACATTTTAGTACAAAATATTTTATACTCATTGAGAAAACATATCTAAAATTAATAAAGATTTTGATGTCGTTTGTGAAAATTTTAATGGCGCTGTGTGAGATTTTTTACAGCACCATCTGTCGTCATATTGTGGAACTAATGTGTGTTATTTTAAAATCATATTCGATTTTTAAGTAGTGCAAAAATCTAAAACTTTTTTTTTATTTAAAAATATTAAAAACATTTTAAATTTAATATTTAAAAACATATGTTTAACTGATACGTTTGAGTGAGGTTAACGGAGTGATATTCTCACCTGTTACAATGCTGGCATTGGAAGGGCTTAGTGTGGGAGTTCTTGTGTCCAGCCAGTTGGACAGACGTTTTGAAGGCCTTCGGGCAGAAGGGGCACTTGTAGGCGCGGACTTCCGAGTGGGTTAGTAAATGGTGGTTGTATACACTATGCGCCTTGAACCTGGGTAACGAAGAAATAAACTTATTTAATAAGCAAAGCCTCCAGAAAATCTAGATATACTAAAATCTTGAACTCTAATCGACTATAATAAAGTTATTTTTAGATTAGTATGTTACATGACAATATTTTTTAAACTACTATTGGTAGCAAGAAAGCTTAAGGTCAACCTAGACCAATTCTTTGTAATCTACAATTTGTTGTTCCGGGTCTGGGTGCGGTGAAATTGTATGCAACCATTGAAATTGAACCCATGACACAGAAAAAATACAAATGGGACAACGTTTTAATAAAATAAATAATGAGTATGTTCACTGTGATAAAAAGTGAATAAGAGTCCCGTTGTGTCTTGAAACTAGTCGAGGTTTTCTGAGATACTTCACGTAAGTCGTTATTTTCAGTGAATTTAAGTATGTCCCACGATATTTCCTATTTAAAATAATAAGTATGTTTACTATGTATATTACCTCTTCCCGCAGTGTGGGCAGGCGTAGGGCCTGGCGCCGGTGTGAGTGCGCATGTGCAGAGTGAGACAGTACGACACGCGGAACGACTTGCCGCAAATCTCGCACGAATGGGGCTTCTCACCTAAGAAATAATAAAATATTTCAAATCAGTACATCTTACTCAAAGTTAATTAACCTCTCGTCTGCCGGTATATGAGATACAATAGAAAACATATTGTGTTTGGCGTAGATCTGAGCACCCGGTCTCTCTGGTCTTTTTTGAGATATTAGTTTTTTTATATATGTATTAGTTAGTAAATCGTTAAGTCGCTTCTCCCGCCCTGGGTGACACCAGAGTGTGTCAGACTCTTACTGACTAAAAGCTACTTCATTCAAATATGGTTCGGTTTCATAACGTAATAAAGAATCTAAAATGAGTATACGATTCATTAAGTCTCAATTTTCATTCAGTAAGCTCGTGAGTAAAATTTATTATAATACAAACTTTTTGTTTTTCCAAATGGACCATACTTTTTGGAGGTGAATTCCAGTTTTACAGCTACGTCGATGATGATGATGTGACGATCTTGCTTTACTATTATAAAACTATTTAAATATGGGAGAGCCAAGCTTCGGCACGAATGGGTCGGCTCGACCGGAGTGATACCACAGCCTCACAGAAAACCGGCATGAAACAATCACAGCGTTGTGTTTCACTCACACGGTGAGTGAAGTTACCGGAGGCCCAATCCTTCTCTTCCCCCGATCCCTCCCAATCCCTAAATCCCTAAAAGGTCGGCAACGCATTCGTAACTCGTCCGTTGCGAGTGTCCATGGGCGGCGCTGATTGCTTACCATCAGGTAATTCGTCTGCTCGTTTGCCGACCAATAATATATAAAGAAATGACATCCATTTTATCTGTAATAGCGATCAGAGCGACGTGCATCTTTCACATCAAAACTTCCGGTTAGAAAACGCTTAAACCGTCTAGAACAAGCATGGTAGTGAATGCTCAAACCACATTCGTGTGAGAAGAAGACTTTGCTAAGCAGTGGAGGCTTATAGGCTCATGTCAGTGGGTGTCAAGGTCCTACATAATTAATAATTAAGTTTCTTTCAATCGAACTTGCTGACAATATTGTCGTATCTTACATAAGAAATATAATGAATCAGCTTCTTATATCATAAACTAGTGACTTGCCCAGGCGTCACACAAGTGCAATGCTGATACTAAATTGTCCACTATTTTATGGGTGTTATTAAACACATAAACCGTCCTATCAATTACTTTATCTATTAAAAAGCCGCATTACAATCCATTGCGTCCATCCATATAAAGGGGCAGAGAAACCGACATTGTATTATACTATGTAGTGATAAATGTGAATACCTGTATGTATCCGTTCATGTTTGACTTTCTCGTGTGGCCTGGCGAATCTTCTGTTGCAATACAAACAGTTGTAGGGCAGGTTTTGATCTTGGTTATTCACTGGGGTCTGTAAATATAAACTTCTATAGACTTGTTGGTGGATCATTAATCCGGTCTCCATGAACTCAGCTTAACTAAAGCAAATATTCTGATAATTTCTTAGATATATTATTATGTATTGGATTGATATATGTAGGTATGCAACCTTACTTTTCACCTTGGTAATGCAGGTGAAGACAATGGCAGAAGCTGGTATTAAATATGTATTATCACTATGTTCACTTAATATAGGTGTATTATCCTGCATAGTCATATTTGTACCATGTTTGTTATAAACTGACCGCGTCTGTTTTATAATGACTGTAAGGTTTCTTATGTTAAATAAAAGATATATAAAGAAAAAAAAACTATGTTCATGACATAAACCTTATTAGTGATAGTGGCATGATATTACTGACATGCTAGGTCGGATAAAATATAAGTTACTTTTCTTTTCGAAATTCTCAGTAATAATAGAATATGGCTGCTTCCTATTAGTAACATATGTAGAACACGTATCGGAAAGACACAAATATGTGTCATATTTGTATATCAAGCCCAAAATTGATGTAATAACACAAGTAAATGCCCCTTCATTATATTGTACACAAGATTCAACTTAATTACCTCTTCAATAAGGAACACATTACTAAAACAAAATAAAAAAAGTACATACTCACTTTATCTACATTATGTACACTAGTATGCATTTCTAAATACTCCAAAGACGTGAATTTCTTATTACAGATGCCGCAGTTCATTTTCTCTGAGGATTTGTGCGAGTTCTGATGAATGGTCTTGTAGTCGCAGGGGATCATTTTATCGCAGATTGTGCAGCGGTACGTCGCTTTACTTACTTCCGTACCGTCCGTGTTTTCAACTGGCGGCTCTATAGCACGAGTCCTGTTTAGGAAATATTATTTTTTATTAAGAAATAGCTACTCTCGCTGTTTTATAGCCTATAGCATTAAGGAACATTATAGCTATATATAAGTGAAGGAATTTTGGCAATCCGACCGTCGATTCCAAAGATTATCCGCTACATACAAACTTACAAATTTTACCTCTTTATAATATTACTAGCTACTCTCACGGGGTTTAATATAATTAACACAAACGGCAGTTTTGGAGTTGTTGAATTTGAATAAATAATTTTGGATAATTCTCGATAATTTTATTTACTAGAAAAGAAATACGTTAATACAAAGCTTACTTACTTAATAGGATCGTGCATCCGTTTGTGCAGTTTCAGTGACTTGTTAGTCGGGAACACAGTGTTGCATATTCCACACTCGTACGATATGGGTAGGGCATGTGGCTCTATAAGTACGAAAATATTAAAAAAATTAAGCTTTTGAAATACAATAGTGTATTAAAAAGGCCGGCAACGCACTCGTAAATCTTTTAGTGTCGATAGGCGGCCTTAATCGCTTACCATCAGGTGTTGCACCTAATAAACTGCCGCCCTGTCACATAAAATTAAAATACAATTTTCTCTGTTTTTAATTCAAACCCAGAAGATATGTTTCTTCGAGTCGCTTCGAAGTTAAGTCACTTCAACAAGGCCTCTATTTCTTTTAAAATATTCTGTTTCTGAAAGAAATAGGAAGACTCTTCGCTCGGTCTAGATATAATAACATTGACAAAATCTATATTGATTGAAGCACTAAGTGCGTTCAGTGCCATCTGTTGGTCAATTGTTTGAACTTATGCGATCAGTACGATGTCTGGCCCAGTAAGTCAAAAAAGGTTTTGAATTCTAATTTTGAAACCTTTAATATACAATTCTTATTACTGGTGTGTGGTAATAGCTCCACCTCCGTAAAACAGAACTCCTGAATATTATACTAAAACTCGTGCCTACGCTAAAAGAAAATAAAATAAAAATGTGTACCTGTTTTAGCTTTATGTGCTTTCATATGAGCACATAGTGATTTGTAGTTTTCATATGCCACGGGACAATAGGGACACGGATATTTTACTAAAAGAAAAAAATAAAATTGTATAAAACAAAAATCAATCCCTTAAAAATGTACTTTCGCCAGCTTTTAAGTTAAGAGTAGATATCAGAAAAAACTCGATAACGAGTAGTAACAGTCCTAATGAGAAAGAATTTAGGCAATAGTCACTTGTTTCTTGTTTTTTTGTAATATGTTATGCATTTTTACCAAAACCGCTGTACCGATTATGATGAAATTGGAAATTTGGATATAGAATTTGGTGATGTTAATCAGGAAGATCAATGTGATCAAAGCAATGGGCAGTTGCCAGTTAGTAGTGAATAAACAGCTCTGAGGCATAGAAAATATCATACTCACATATATTACAAGGATGGATTTTGAATTCGTCCAAATTAGTGACGCTAATGTTGCATGCTAAGCACTGATACGTTTTGAGCGCGAACCCGCAGTCAGTTGGGACTTCTTTGACAACCACCTTGTGGAACTGACCTATTTTATCTGTATCAAACAAAATATACTCCATCATGTACCAGTAAATGTGGCTTTCAAAGAAATATTTCGCATCATTTTGGACAGTAATAATGTAGTCGGTACTTAAAACGATTTTTTGAAAACCTAACAAAACTAGAAAATAGCTTTCGGTGAAACATTACTTACTGTAGATGTAGAAATGTCTATAAACTTTCGATGTAGTGTGTGTGATACCTACCCCCACAGGTTTTTTTTTTTTGTGAGGGAAAAATCATCAAATGACTTCTCAGAGTGGGAGTCTCAGACGCTTACTGTCTAAAAACCCCCGTTCCTTCTCATGCTCTGGGCCGTGGCCGTGGTGCTTCATTTACCCCGCAACCACGGCTGATCCTCATATGTAGAGTAAGATATTAAGACACTTCATTAAAGGTAATCGGAGCAAATAAGATACGCGTTACTTGTCCGATCATCTTTTTTGAAGTATTTAATATTATAACTTACGCTACTAATGGGGACAGGTACACACACACTACATTGGAAATGCAATTTGCAAGTCAAAATGGCCTAACCGTTATAATAATATATTAAACCTACCTAATGAATATAAATTCCTCAACTGGGTAAGTACAAAATTGTACTTAACAATACCTACTTTCTGCCTGATGTGTACTTATAATTTTAAATGATATGTTCAAGTCCTAACTGTAATATGGAGCGAGCCTATTACCAAACACCGTAGTATTTCTTAATAAAAAAAAAACAAACGAAGATCATATAAGACACCAGTGAACAATCAACCAACGAAGCAATGAAGCAATAAATAAAACCTCATTTTGTTTTATTCTTCTAACAAAAAGTTTACATATACATACTACTTACTTACCTATATCGTGCGCATTGCCTGCATGAAATGTTAAAAATATTTTGTTATTTATAATGTATATTATAATATTATTTGTCCACATTGGTTGGAGTTTTGTACATATAAAAATTAATGAATTTCCGATTTTTAATCATTTATTACAAATAGACCCTTGCAGGCCCTTTTAAACGTCAAGCATTGCTTGAAGATACAGTGTCGGTTTGTTGGTCAGTCCTCTTAGTGAAGCTATTTGCTTGTTCCAAAGTGTTCATTTCGATAGAGGAGAATGAGCAACAAACTCCATGGTTACTCTCTTTCAATCAGTTTCACATACATATTCTTTGTTACATTATTAAGGTGGTTTCACTATGTGAGAATAGTGTAACACTAGACTAGTCTAGATATGTAACTACTTCTAAACTACATACTTTGAAGTCTGAAACGAATAAGTCGTTATAATGATTTTATTTACTTTTATTTCGACAACAATACAGTTGTTTTTTGTTTATCAATAATGTATAGTGAAATTTACCTTTCTCATCATTCTGTATGGGATCTTTTAAGGCACCTTTGTCGACTGGTATGTACCGCCTTGTGACAACGATGTCTTTATGCTCTGTGATGGTGGAGTCTTTAACATCTTCTGTGAATAAGTAACTTATCCGTTTGAAAATAAGGTTCATTATTTAATAACAGCTGAACTATTGAACTTGGTATTAATATAAGGGCAGAGATAGAAAATCAATCACTTGGGTGTAATGTTTTTTTAAGTGCTGGTGTTCATATATTTTTATAAGAGGAGATACTGTATACATGGTGTTTGGTTTAACATATCTTATCGTTAAAGATTTCAGGCAGGGCATTCAAGCTTTGCATCGACCTACTGTATAGACGATTAAAATGTAGACATGGTATGAAAATCAAAAATTTTTTTTTCGTATTTTGTAGGAAAATAATACTTAGGTGTGTGCGTACTAAATCCGTTGAATGAATCGGTTACGTAATGTACTAAATTCTGACGCCAAACGACATTTCAAATCAAACCAATACTTATAATACCGGAAGTTTTCGGTTCCGAAGTTATTAATTAATCTAAAAGACGGACATTATAATTTAAAAAAAATGTTACCACTCCTACTGGAGAGATTTTATGCAGAAAACATGTACATTTATTAAAGAGGTTTTAAATAAAAAGTTACCATTCTCATTCGCTTGGCCTATATCTTTGATGACACCCCCAGACATCGTTTTGACTTGTATGTATCGTTTTGTAAGGACCCCAACTGGTTCGGTCTGCTCTATCTTAATTTTTTCGTCTGTGCCTGCAAATTAAACAAATACATTTTTATTTAACTTGATGCGTAGAGATCTCCTACATTCACTTTAGTTGATTGTGCTTTGGTTCAACACTGGACTAGTTGAACATCACACTAAATCACTATTATTATTTATTGTCTGATTGTCTCTAAATATTTTAAAAATACTAGTATATATATATGCAAGTCATGCGAGGGTTGAAATTTTTTTTTATAACCTTACCCTACTCTTGTATTTTCCTCTGCGATGAAACTTACACCAATAATATGTCGATCAAAAATATTTGGGAAACGGTTCCTCGATGCGTTGCACATCAGTTTGTTACCCTACCACATTGCTATCCGTGCAGGGAAAACTAACGTGAATATTTTTTTTTAATAGTTCGGCAAATTAGGTTACGGATTACCTGATGGTAAGCAAGCAGCGGCGCCCATAGACACCCGCCATAACAGAGGTGTCACGAGTGCGTTGCTGACCTTTTGGGAATTAGGGATTTCGAGATTTAGTTATTGGGCCTCCGATAACCTCACTTACACGGCGAAACACAACGCTGTGGTTGTTTCACGCCGGTTTTCTGTGAAGCCGTGGTATCATTCCGGTCGAGCCGGACCACTCGTGCCGAAGCATGGCTCTCCCACACATTAACAATATAAGTGATATTAATTTAAAAGAGTACTAAGTTACCTAAATCCAGAGAATCGGAGACAATATGCGCATCAGTTTTGAACAGTATTGGCTCTTCGACTATGTCTCCAGTGTCAGTGATGACTCGTCGAGGAGTTTGTTTGTCGGAAGTCACTAACGCGTCTTCACTGTCCATTGGTTCATATTCTAACTGGTTACTGTCATTCTGTCTATCATCAATCGGCTCCTGTAAATATTCAGACTACTTATTTTATTAGGATTGTTGTTTGTGATAAGGTAGTTGAAAACATTAATAGGAGAGAGTCTTGTAAATCAGGAGCTCTAGAAAGTCATACAAATAAGGATTTACAAATAATATGACGATACTATAGTAAAAAAAACTTATATAGGACAAGGTTGGTGCAACAGAAATCAAGAAAAAAATAATGATTAGTTAATAATAATTTATCTACAAATAAAATAAACGCCAATTTTAAACGATAACCATGCAGTGCACGCTTGATTTATGGCAATAACTGTAATAATATTTGGAGACACCGAAAAATAGAAAGAGCGCCGTAATTTTATTTAAGTCTGATAGATTAGTTTCTTGAGGAGCTCAAGTATACTAGACTTACAATTTATTTATAGTCTTGTAATCGTGCAAAAATTCTCCTTAGCATATATTTGGTACCTACCAGTAGGTGAGGATTTCTAAAAACCGTGAAAGCACATGGCCTTGGACGTGACTAGTGCCACCTAGACCTCCAGGATAACTAATAGTTGGAATATCTTACCTCAACAACAACTTCCTGATCATTGTGGTAGTTCTGTATATGTTCTAAGACTGAAGTGAAGGATACTTTGCAAGTATTGCAGCTGTAGATCTCTTCTTGAGTGTCATCTGGTATAGAGTCTGTAGCTATCATCGTTTCAGTTGGCATCTCCATGTCTGAAACCAAGATTTTTTGTTATATTTTATAGCCTGTCTGTTTTCAGTTTTTCAGTGTTTCTTTAGAAAAATAAAGTAATTAATATATTTTCATAATTTGGTTCATTTCTTCAACTGGCAATACCAGCTATGGTTAAGTCTTTGACTGTCGACAAAAACCATTGGAAGCAAATCCTCTGCTTGCATTGGTCTACTTTGAATTGGTTAATCAGTATTTTTTCCTAATGACATAAAACATTTTTAACTATTCCAAAGTAAGAAGTAAATAAAATATTCGTACCTTTTACAGTAGTCAAAGATATAGTGCCATCAGTATTCTTAGTTACAATAGTATTTCCTGCACTCAGGTCCGTGTCCTCTTGCGTTACAATCATGTAACGGCTCTCTCCATTTTCTTTTATCAATTTCAATTCTCTCGTTTGCAAACAAGGTTTCAGCTGTTTCGTGAACAGTTCCACATACATTTTGTTAGCTTCATTCGCATCTAATTGGTGTTCTGAATTAGTGTTGATTTCTGTAAACATAAGTCATGTTCATTAGATTTCATAGAGAAGTGATTATTCTAAAATTCTATATTGTTTATTCATACAAATATATTCAAGCTCAAAAATTTTTTGGTCATACTATTGAACACACTATCCGGTGATTGTTTTGAACTACTGATTGAACAGTTCTTTATGTGTTGGAAAGTCAATTTATGAAGGATGGCTGTAGGCTACAAAACATTGTGCTATAACGCAAAGGAGCCAAGGTATGGGTAAAACAACAGGAAAGTAGCTAGAAAAAATAACACATCAATTATAAACTCCCTGCAATTAGTAAGAATTGTCTATAATATAGTATAACCCAGTCCAATTTGGGTTTCTGATAGCAGACACCTTACTCAAGTCAAGTTATACTTATTTATTAACTTAGTAAAGATATTTTATTGAAATAAAAGAAATTTTTACTTAATAATGAAACCAAGAGAAAATTGTGTGGTGTACCTACAATATTGTCCATTTCTAGACTCTCTAATTTTATACAGAATGATGTGACAAGTCTAATTTTGGTACCCTCACAGGTACCTTAGGTACTATGATTTAGTTTATAATCATTCAATTTAGTAGCGCTTGTATCATTCCTAGTAATTATATGATAAAAAGTCTTTTAAAGTAAGGGCAATAAATACAATGGACATTCCTCTAATATTTAAGTTTAAAGATTTAAAACAAAAAGGAACTATAATAATTTTACTTGTGTGGGTATCGAACCCACTATCCAAATGTTTATAAGAATCAATGCATCTCGCAACTTGCTTTTGAGTTATTATGTAAAGACGGACACACCCTTACCATTTTGAAATACTTTAATATCAGCGTTTTCTATATCTGTAGAGTTTTCACTATTGCCCTCAGTTTTGTGTTCAAATATAATACTTTGTACATTTACATTATTTAGTAAATTATTTTCGGACTGGCAGCTTTCTTGAGACAAATGTGCAATAAGGTGTGGCAGTGAGGAGCATTTATTATTACAAAGAGGACAGTGTATGTTTTCCAAAGTATTTGATAAATGATCTACCAAAGACTGTTTAGAACTAAATGTTGTATTGCAACAAAGGGGACAATTCAGCGGCTGGCCTTCCATTATACTAATAATATATTAGCTTAACGCCCTTATACTACTCAGACGCTTAACATTGCTGATAATAAACAACGCTTCATTTGGTAAACAATAAACATATCACTTTCATTCAATCTCATAAAAGTGCTACATTCAGTTTGTATCTAAATTCTCAACACAAAACCACATTTAATCAGAAGAACTTCACACTAATTTGTTAAACGTGAAGAAAGCACCAAACGCACAACGCACCATTTTTGTCAAAACTGACATTAGTATTGTGTTGATGAGGTTCCGAACGATAGGTAACAAATAAAAAAATAATAACTTGCTTGTTATTTTTTTAAGTTTATTTTTAAGTATTATATAATAAGTATGATAATTTGAATACGATGATTTTTATTTTTTCTAGATAAATAAACCTAATTAAAATATTTGTTATACGAATTAAGTCACAAACTGAAGCTGACTTTGTAAATAACGGAAATAGTTATTACAAGTCGAAAAAATTAATAAAAGACGTCGGACGGTCGGAATTTTAATTAATAATAGCAGTTTTATCAATTATTTACTACAGTACTTTTCCACAATTATTTAATGTTACAACAATCATAACCCCTACTTTATTAATACTCTGTTTAAATTGATGAATCATCTTGTAAAATCCATATCATTTTAGTTCATACCAATTATATATTATTTTGTATGGCAACCTTATTGACTTTGATCGCCATTTTGTCGTGGTGATTTTTTAATCGTAGTGATTTTTATTTATTCGTGTTACTTATTTCTTTACGGTTTATATTCAATACTTCAAGTGTAACCTCAATACCAAATTGTGCCTGTATATAATATTGTACAAAAAGATTGGACAAGTATTGTATAAGTAGTTGTAAAGACGTTGACGCTTGTTATGTTTATGTGCAACTGTTTTCGCGGGTAAATTTGATTGAAACAATATGTTAGGAAAGAGAATGAACCATAACAGCAAAGGCAGACTAGCAAGCAAAGGTCACGATAATGGTAAACCTTCAAGCCCAGGTATTTCACCTTACAACAAGCCAGCTAAAATACCAGGTGCCGTATCTGCTGGGAAAACTAAGGTAGAATTGTGTCCAATTCCGTACATAAAGATTCAAGACAATGCTGTTCATCTACCTCGCTTCACAGCCATCGCAGCAAGATCTGCAGATGAACCTATCGGCATGGACGAGTTAGATTCTTTACAACTGGAGCTGGAATCTCTCTTGGGCAATACAGCTCTACGTATAAGATATTTCCAGTCTGAAATTGAGAGTATTGACACAAATGAATCCAAGAGAGAAAAGAAAGGTAAAGCAGCTGGCAAACAACTACAGTATCCAGTCAAAAGAAAGTTTCCAGATGATAAATTAGTGAAAACCAATAGTACCAAGTTGTCGAACCAGCCCAAAGTGCCTAAGTTCAAAAATATGTCTAATGCTTCTTCAGGCGGATCTCACAATTACAATAATGATGTAGCTAATTCAGACAATTCAGTTAAACTGGAACTATCACAGTTTGCACTGCCAAAGAATAATATTCCATATAAATTTTGGAGCTCTGTTGATCCTTATTGTGCTCCTGTTACACTAGATGATATAAAATTTTTGGAGTCATTGTTAGCTCAGAGCAGCAACACAACATTACCACCAATACCACCACTAGGCCGTCACTACTCTGAAGTATGGGCTGATGAACATCTTGCTGAGGATCAGAATGCTTCCAATCCAAATAAACAAAAATCATCAATGTCTCCAGAAGCTTCTAATATTCGTAAGAAGCTTGAAAAATCTAATGACAACATGATAACTGGTCCATTGACTCAAAGATTGGTATCAGCACTCATGGAAGAAAATTTGATGAATTACGAAGTGCCTGACATTAAGGTCAAACAGACAACAAACACTAAAAGTAGCTATAAGAATTCCTTAACATTAGAAAAATGTCTCAGAAAAGAGTTGGTGGAACAAGGCATATTGGATCCAGAAGATTTGCCCCCCCTGACCAATCCCGCTGATGATGAAATACTTGCAGAAATAAAAAAGTGTCAGACAGAATTGACTGCAGTGAAGAAAGACAATTGTCGTAACTTAAAACATCTTATTGGGCTATGTAAACAAGAAATGATTAGACTGAATCTGAAGAAACAACTGGATCAAGTTGATATGGAGTGTATTGATATTTACAAGAAAATGGTTGCTGCAAAACAAAAGAAAAGACCTATTACTAAGAAGGAAAAAGAGGATGCTTGGAGAGCTATTAATGAACAGATCAGGCTAAATAAAGAAATAAATGCTTTGCCTTTAACAGGTCCAAATTCAAGCTAAATAATGTATTAGTTAAGTATTCTATGGGGTAGTATAAGAATGTTATACATAGGTACCTATTATTTAGAAATAAATAACATTAATATTTATAACTTTTGTATTCATTTCTGCACACTACTAAATACTTTTGATAATCTGACAAGGTATTTAAATCTGACTTCATTTACTTGAATGACATGACTTTTGGTCGCCCATCTTAGAACTTCAGCATCAAAGCCAATATTGCAACAATATAAACTGTCTACTATCCCTACCTTGGTTTGAGATCACATAGATAATAATATAAAGTCTTAGCTTTATTCAATTTGTATGTACATGGTTTGGCATCATTGCTTTCTATTACAATATTGTAATAAATAAATTTGCTTTGACTACAATATCTGATAATATGTTATTACGACACTGAAATGAGCTGAGTGTACAAAAGTAATTGAAATTAATTCTAGAATAAGATAAGATCTTTACTGCGAATATATGGGTGGGTCAAGCAGCACAGATGGAGAAGGGTATGTCCAAAGAGAATAATTATAAGCACTACAGGTATCCATAAGTATTTATTATACAATGGTATGTATGTATGACCACTACGTGTTTCGAGGAAGAACACTAGTTGAAAAATCTAGGTATTAATGTGCTTTGCTATGCCGATTCAAATAATCTAAAATTATATTAAATTATGACTATAATTCACTTGAAAATACAATGTAATTGGATTATACCGGCCAGCAACTAACACATATTTACAGGTCTGGTATATCCGCACAATTCAATTAACTGTACCTAATCTTGACGTGACGGTTTGACTGCACGGTTGGCCCAATGGCTGGGGAACTGCCTGCCGCGCAACGTGTCGTGGGTTCGATGCCCGAACTCTGTGTCTGTGTGATCCACACATTGCTGTTCCGGTTCTGGTCTGTGTATGTGAAATTGTATATTTGTAAACGCACCCACAGCACAGGAGAAAATCTTAGTGTGAGGAAACGTAAAAAAATCTTTGCTGTCTTGCTTAATGAGGGAATCATCATAAAATCTGAAGCTTTCCTTTATAAAATGTCCCTTTTACTTGATAAAAACGTATTACTATGTCAATCCATTTATAGAAAAGTACTTTGTCACATAATGACTCAAAAGACTAGATGTCAAATAAGTTTGAAGCATTTAAACATTATGATGACATTCAAAATATTTGAAAAGTAACGAAAGTACTTCGCGAGTTGAGAAATAAAATTGTTTGGAAATTAATAAAATAAGTATTTTAAAAAGATGGATAATCCGTTGACGCCTAACAAAATACAGAGACTTATGCATTTAGCGGAGGACAAGTCTTTTAACATGCCGAGACGGTTATTGCTTACGGACGAAGACTTGAAGCGGTACGTACGTTAATAACAATCATGATACAGATGGTTTGTGTTGACTTTTTTAGGTATTTATTTATTTTTATTTAATTGATTAATTTCTATTTTAGTTTGGCTTCAACTCAGGCATCAATGAATAGATCCAATATCAATAATTGTGAGTCTTCTTCTGGCATTTTGGATTTAGAGAGAGTTGAAGGTAATCCAAACTGTTTCTAAATAGTATGTTGAAATATAAAAATTAAAGTCTTTAATTTCTAGATCTTAATATTTAATAAATATGGTTATTATTTTTAGGCTTTGGAGAATCTGGGATTGGAGATTTATCTCTTAGTAAATCTGTAAGTACATGTAACTTAAAACTTTTATAAAAACACGCCTTAATTCAACCATAATACTTGAATTAATGTTATATTGATTTAACTATAACATATTTCTACATTAATATTCTATACTTTTTTTTACACAAACACCCTAAAAGGACTGTAATATTTTTATTCATGTGTTAAATGTTATTGGCATAATTTATTTAATTTTTTTTGCTTATTTGTAAATCTCAAACTGGCTCTAAGAACATATTGTGTTAAATTTGTTTCTTTTACTTTCAGACTGCATTCAATCCTGGTGAAATGACTGGTAGATCAACTGGTGCTGAAGACTTCAAAGCAATGCCTCTGGGTCGCCACTCCATAGCTTTAGAAAGCCTTACTAGCCAGATGGATAAACAGACTTCAGAGATTCAAGATATCATGAGACATTCCATTGCTACTAATTATTCTTTTCATTCCAAGGTACAATTTATATTACCATTAAATTTTTAATTAAAGTAGGAAGATTTTTTATTAACTATTCACTTAAGTTTGAACCCTTAACTTATTCTTTGTAACTTGAGTTCCACTCTTACATTCAAACATCTCTAACACCCTGTTTCTGAAAGGGTTGTCAACGCTAAAATTAGCTAATCTCCTGTTAAACCAATCAAGTCATCTGATTGGTTGTATATAATGTAATAATTTAATATAATAAAAAAATGTAATAATTTAGTCAACCGTCCAGATGACTTGACATGAGATTAAATTGATTTTAATATTGATCGACCTTTCGGAAACCGGTCGTTACTGTGGCCAGATTTAATAGCATAGGTGTTGTAATTTGTTAACATAATTATATTTAAAACTTTGAAGCTTCTTCTTCTGTTGTACGCATAAGAGAAGTGGAAACACCAAAAATTTTAATACAATAATATGAGTACATAATTATGGTTATGTAATAAACATGTAAACTAGAAAGCCCTCACCTCTCTTTAAAATGAGGCTAATAATAATTAATAATACTTAAAACTTTTTCTTATATAAAACTTACTAAATTAGTTTTGTTTTTGTAGTCTATCAGTAACCCTTTTGATCACCATGAAGTCAAATAACTGTGTCTATGTTATTTGTTACAGAGAGATCTTACAGCAGATGAAGCCTCTCTGATTGTTAGGGAAGCTCCACTACCTGTATCAAACAGCACCCATACAAACTTTGCAGATAGCATTTCGTAAGTAATTCTCAATTAATAATTTTTTCAAGATTTCCATCATCCAAGTAAACAGTGAGACAGTGATTTACGCCTGTTCCATGCTCGAATGAAGTTCCTCTTATAAAGCAAATTAGTTGTTCCTGCAACGCAAACATGGGCGGCGCTCATAAAGGCCTTCTGGTGACCAGTGGGCTTATAGTCTGACCAATGCTTAAAAAATAATTCAGAAGCTACCTGGTTGTGCTATATAATAAGTTAAACATTATTTGGCCTAATTGTCATATTATTAATTTTCAGAATGAATAACTCAAACCTATCTGTTGGTGCTTACTTCAAGAACAGATGTCCTGAATTTGGGAAACTGCTAAGCAAGACTGAGAGTCCAGACAGATCGTATATGCCTAGCATAACTGAGGGTAAGAGAAATATTTACGATTTCAGATTTAAGGCGTACAATTATGCTACGCCAATTTCTTGAAGGCAGGCCCAATCCTTGCACCCCCCTCCATCCCTTCCCAATCCTTAAATATCTGCAACCCTTATCCCTAAAGGGCCGGCAACGCATTAGTAACACCTTTGGTTTTGCGGGTGTCCATGGGCGGCGCTGATTGCCATCAGGTAATATGTGAGCTCGTTTGCTGAGCTATATCATAAAAAAATTATAGCATCATTCTATGGTAATCCACAAATTGAAAGTAACATTTATTAGTTATTTTAGTATGAATGCTGAAAATGTGCATGAAAACACGTAATCGTGGTCCATTGATTTTTTGAATTGTTAACTAATTCCTCCGAATTGTTTTAGTATCAGGCGCACACTCTGAATCATTGAGATCTAACAAGAATCTAATGAAAATGGACCAATCATTAGACTGTGTACCAGTGAGACAGCCTCGCAACATCATGGACAGTTTTCCAGGGAAACAGAGTTATGTTCCACCTCCAGCTGAAAGCACTTTCACAATGCCAAAAGTCGAGAAACAAGCTGAACCATCTACCAGCAATATGACAGAAGCAAAACCAAACCAGAATCCATTCTACATGAGCCAAGTTCCTGATAAACCGAAATATGTCCAGATGACTTTAAATTCTGTCTCACCAAAAAAGAATGTCCCCGTACCAACAAGAGAAACTGACTTGTTGCTTAAGAACCTTCAAGCGTCTTTGAGATTAGTGAGTGATGATACTGAGGGGTCAGCGGAGAATTCTTTGAGCATTTCCAGGATTGCTGATTATCTTGGTAAGAAATATATTTCCTATTACTTAAAAAGTTTTATGTAAAACTACCATCCCATTCTTACAAACAATGACTTAATAAAATATGCTCACTTCTGATTAATTTTGCGATATTTATAAATATGAAACTATTCTCTGTATTTTTTAAAGTCCATTAAAAACATCTTCCAGGCAAACAATCAAATGTAAGTGTAACAGACATGTTGCTCTTAAACAACAAGAAGAAACACTTGAACAAGAAACAACCACTCACCGAGTTACAAATGAACATACCAGAATCCAAGAAGAACAACCAGGATCTGCCAGTAACTTACCTTAAGGACACGCGAAAGACCGAGGCAGCTAGTTCATCAGGAACTGCCACCACAGTTATAAGTCAGAACAAATTCAAAACCAACGAAATGCAAGAGATCCCATCGGTCATAGTAACTCGTCATTCTCTTGGTACAGAACAGTTGATTGAAATTGACGATTCAAAGTCAAAGAAAAGTGGCCGTTCCAAGTCACCATCAAGTAAAAGTCAATCCACTTTTAGCACTGTTCAAGAAAACTATACGAGTTTTAAGTCTGGAGACAGTCCTTTACATTCCAGCAAAGGTATATTATTAGATATTGAAGGGAGGTATAGACTTGTATATTCTCTTATAGATTATAGTTGCTACATACTCAAGTCTATAACTCTCAAAATATTTTGTTGCACAAAATTTATAAAGAAATATATCTATTGTATTTATGTATGTAACAGGGTATGATTGGTTGTAGTAACAATTTAGTTGATATTTCAGGCGAGGCCAATACGTCACATGTTGCTTCCCCAAATACAGTATATAAAGAGTTAGATAAGTCTGTAGATTGGCACGAAGTTATGCAACAGAAACGTTTGAAACAGGAGGGCTTAGCTAAAGGTTTGTGGGCCTCGCTTCATTCACCATTGCGCGGGAATCTAACACTTCATCTTACTAAAATTCTGACTATACGTCATTTGGTTTTACTGAGAATCAATCCTTAAATGATTGGTTGTGCTCAGGTTTTAACTCTCAAACTATAAAGTGATTAATCTACTAATACATACACCTGCAACACTGCATCATTCTTACTTGATCTTCCGTTTACACTGATATTCAATGAAGTATAAAATTCAAAGTCAGTAGGCAAAATTCGATTTATAATTTAAAAACTATATCTATTTTACTTTATCATGTATTTAAATTATATATATTAGAAATTATCATTCATATGCTAATTGCTAAGTTTTGTGAATTTTATTATTAATTTCCTATTTTATTGCAATGGAATCTGAATAAAAACTAGTTTTACATGACTTAATTAGGTATCTTATTAATTTATTTCGTTTTAGAGCAATGGGTTGAAATTGGAGCCACTGTTGCCGATGGATATGTTGGTAAGTACTAGGTTCTACATTTTGATCGCTGCCGTGACTATAAAATGCTGTCAATGATGTACTAACTGCTATTTACCTTTTTCAGGCGTCAATTGTCCAGTAACAATAACAGTGACGACTTTATCAGACAGCTGGCTGACTGCCAAATTACAATTTAATGATTTGCCAAACGACGGCAGGGACCTCACTATCGAGCTTCCACGTATGCCTCTGTTGTTATCACCAGGAAAATCTGAAAAAATAACCCTGCACATAACATCAAATGTGGAATTAAGCACAATATTGAATTTCACTATGTTGTTGAAAGATGCGTCTATTGATGGTGATGTAGAACAAAAAGGCGAGGTCCAAATTAACATAAAAATGCCTGTTATACAAGCTATGTCTTGTGATGGCGTCAACAAGATCACGTTCCCTACGATACAAGAGAATAGTTCGCTCATAAAGTCCTTCGTGCTTATAAGTGATTGCCCTACCGATTTGCAGTTAGAATTATCAGTGGTAGAGGGTGACAGTATATTCGCTATTAAAAACGTTCAAGAAATAAAGAAGACTGATGTGAATAAGATTCTAATGGATCGCCAAGGGTCGACTGATGAAGGACAGCAACCTGGGAAGAGTAAGGGCAAAGCGACGAACAAACAGCTGTGTAGGCTGACTAGTGGGAACGCTATTAGAGTTACTGTGAAATTTAATGCGCCCAAGTTGGCTGATATTGAAATAGGTTTGTACACGCGCTTTTTGAATGAAATTATATGAAAAAAAATACATAAGCAAATTTTTAACTACTAGGACTTTATTGGAATGTCGGAAAACTACAACCGCTTTCAATGCGCTAACTACGGTTTCCAAGACTGCCAATCGATTATGAAAAACTGCCTCTTGAATCTGACTACTTTTATTTGTTTTCAGAAGATTCAATAGTGACTTTCAACGGGCTGATGCATGTGAACTTGATAGGAGTGAACAGTGTGATGAGGAAGGTCGACCTAGTCGGTGTCGTCGGTACTGTGAATCTGGTGGTCAAACCTCCGGTCAGCAAGTTGCAACTAACGAACGGTGAGTTATGATAAAACACTATTATAATATAAAAATATATCTACAAAAGAGTTTCGATTAAATGTTTTTCTTTCTTACAATCACAATGTGTCGCGGGTTCGATTCCCGCGTGGATCTGCACGTTGAGTCATCCACAATGTGTTGTTTCGGGTTTAGGAAAATCCTAGTGTAAAAATTGCAGTTTAAAAAAGTACCTACATAAAATAAGTTGCCAGTTGAATTCTAAAGGTAAACATTTTTGAACCTTCTTCTGGTATGAGATGCACTGTAGACAGGGCAGAAAATTCATATAAGTTATTTGTCTATAGTAATAAATTTGTTAAAACCGGAAATTCAGGTGCGATATGATTAAAAAATATATATATCCCAGACATATCCTCTACACTAGCCTAACAATGCAATCATCAAACTGATCAATAAGATATTAATTACGTACTTTTACCTTTTCAGAACCAACAAACATTGACTTGTGTAACAATGGCTCGATATCAGGCATTTGGATAGTGAAATTCAAAACTAACTCGACGGCAGATAACTTTCCGTTCAAAATAGCGCCGACTAAGTTCGAGGTACGGCCTGGTACATCCAAGTCTGTGAGCCTCTTATATACTGGCTCTGGTGATCCTGTTGAAGCGTGAGTATTTTCTGTTATATGTTATTATAACTAGCAACCACTGGGTGTAATGTTGATACTTAATTTCTCCACTATTTAATGGATGTTATTATACATATAAACCTTCTTCAATTACCTACTCTATCTATTAAACCACATTGCATCAAAATGCGTTGCGTAGTTTCAAAGATTTACCTAGGAATATAGAGACAGAGAAAACGACTTTGTTTTATACATAACCTATGTAGTGATGTGTTTCGTAGATAATAGTAGTAATTCCACAGTCAAAGATTGTTTTGCACCCAAATCTCTCATTGGATGGGGATGAGGGGATCACTACAATCCTCGCGCTTGGCTGGCGGCTGGAGGTTCGCACCAAATTTTAGGATTAAATTGACAAACAATAAACTATGTTTCCATGTTTTACAGGACCCTCATATTTGAAGAAATAACTTCTGGCAATAAAACTACACTTGAAATCTGTGGGGGCATCGATAAGCCAAAATCGTTTCCCATAAAGACTAATTACATTTCTATGTCGTGGGTGCGAGCTGGTAGGAAAGAACTGAGTTTGAAAAATGCTACGGATAAGAAAATCTACATCCGATGTCAAATACTCGGTGAAGGATTCGCGATAGATTTGCCACGAGAGTCCAGAGGGATATACTGTGTGCCTTTCGGGCCGTGTGAATGTCGTCCTTTGCCTATAATCTTCTCCCCAACATCGAATGGACCGCAGAAAGCTACTTTGCATTTAGTGTTCGAAAAAAATAGTGAATACAGTAGGAAGGTAAGAGATTTGTTTGGTTTTTGATTATTGCAAGCATATTTATTTATTTATTTATTCTTCTTCCCATAAAATAGTCTGAAAGGCGGACATCTAATAGTCAACCAAAGGGTAGTGCAGAGATTTCATGCGGTTGGTACGAAGCAAGGACACAGTGTCCTAGTGCATATCTTAGTCGTTTAATTTCATCGAACAAAATTCAAGGAAAATTATTGTTTTTGGCATTTCAATAATGATTTGTGGGATATATTATGACAAAACTTCTGTAACACGTTCTACGTAGTTTTTTTGTCAGAGCTGCAGGTTCAGATTGACACTGGATTGATGGTAAGCAATCGTCATCAACTTGAGGGTTTCGGGACCAGGGTTGGGGTATATGATGACCTCCGAAATCAACAAAAACATTGTTTCATGTCAGTTTGGACCATGGTATCTCTCTAGTATCAGTCTATTCGTGCCGGTTCTCGTTTCATCTTTTTCCTGTTTTTTATTGCAGATCGATCTATATGGGTGTGCGAGTGGAGAAGCGCTGCGCTGGTCAGGGCTGGTGACATACGGCGACACGGCGCTAGTGCGGGCCGTCAGTCGACAACCTATCAACTTGGAGCTCTACAATAAGTCCACTGCACCTGCTTTCGTATGTGCCAGAATTCATTTCAATCGTAAGTGTGTTGGGAACTTTATATTATTGTCAGTTTTAATTACAAAACTCCTTAAAATTTGAATAAGCTAACAAACATTTGAATATTTTGTGAGGAAAGTCTCTCTCTCGAAGCTTCTATACCTACTCCTTCAAATGAATTCTTACATGTAGGTACCTTTCACATATCTATTATAAAAAAAATACAATTCCTAACCTTCGGAACAATATCCGCGAATACTCATATCATATTTAACTTTATCATCTAATAATTTTATTTGAACATCTACTACTACACTACTGAAGAATTTAGTGTCATAAAAATTTATAATGAGTGAGGACGTCGAACGATATCGGCGAATATACTTATCATGTTTAACAAAGTAGATGTTTAAAAAAAAATACATTATCATCTAATGCATTTTTTTTAAACATATACTTGTCTATTCAAGCTTGGATCAAGAGGTGTGAAAATTTTACACCCGGTTTCTGAAAGGCTTGTCAACGCTAAAATTAACTAATCTCCTGTGAAATCTCTTGTTACGAGATGACAAGTACTGATGACTTGACAAGAGATTAAATTGATTTTAACATTGATCGGCCTTTCGGAAACCGGGTGTGAGGTTTATAGTCTCGTACAAAATACTGATTGAGGTCGTTACGTTTGCAGTGCAGTACATGTGCTTGGCGGAAGACGCGGAGTTGTCCGGGGGGCGCAGCGTGGTGCGGGGGCGCGCGCGGCACGGCGTGTGCGTGCGGCTGCAGTGGGCGCGGCTGGAGCGTCGCGCGCGCGCCGCCGCCGCCGCCTCGCTCGCCTCCGTCACACTCATCACCGGCGCAGAGTACACGCGCCGCAGGATACTCAAGTAACTATATTATTATAATACTAGCCACTTCCGCGCGGTTCCAGCCGCTGCTCGTAGCGTGATGTTTTATAGCCTATAGTCTTCCTCCATAAATGGACTGGCTAACACAAAAAAGTATTGTTCAATTTGAACCAGTACTTCCGGAGATTAGCGCGTTCAAACAAACAAACAAACTCTTCAGCTTTATATAACACATGTAATATTAGTATACCCCACAAATTACTTACCACAGTATTTTTAAAACAAAAACGTTACCCGTACCCCCCGCTAGTAATTTTTTCTGTGTCGTGTGTGCGTTAACAAAACATACACATCACACCCAGACCCAGAACAACAGTTTGTGGATCACGCCAAGAGTTGTTCCGTGCGTGAATCAAACCCGAGACAAGTTGCGCGGCAGCCAGTTGCACAGCCAGCGCGTCAATCGTGCAGTCAAAACTTTAGTTTTCGCTCTTATAATTTATGGGAATTATTATTATTACTTTTTTATTTACTTATAATTTATGAATATTGAGTAGATATGATATTCTTTGAATACCAGCATTTTATCTATACATGGACTATCTTTTCTCTACAACCCGCAAAGGTTTAAAGGATTTAGTTACAACTGATCTAAACTACATTATATTCAGACCCTTATACATAGAATTTGGATTATCATTTCTGTTATTTCCATAGGATTCTCCGTGACGAATCAAATGGGGAGCTGGATACTTCCCTGCTACCTGATCACTTGAAGGTGTTAACAGAAACATTCGAAGGAGAGGATGCATCCATGGACAATCAAATTGCTGATTTCAAGGAAACCAAGGTAAGAACATATTATTAAAAAAAAAAATAAGTTACTTCGTGCATCTTAAATTTTGTTTTGTTTTCCAACATATTATGAAGTAGCTTCCGCCCGCGGCTTCGATGTCGATAAAAAGTATAATATGTCCTATTCCAGAGTGTATCCTATGTCTGTGCCAAATTTCATCCAGATCCGTCCAGCCTTTGGCGTGATTAAGTAACAAACATCCAAACATCGTAACTTTCGCATTTATAATATTAGTAAGATTAAGACCACATTTACTTTGCAAAGTTAACAGAATTTTGTACTAGCTAGGTACTACTTGTAGTCTTATGCGATTAACATTACTTAACCTTTTGAGCGCCATTTCGAAAACTGTCCCTGGACAACTAGCAAACGACACTAATACGTGACAGAAAAATCGGTATACAGAATCACGAAATAAACAATTTAAACATTCCTTAAATGCCTGTTTATTGATTTGATGTAATCTTAAAATAAACGTATTAAATAGCATCACAGATATTGAAAAAAATATAAAAAAATATATTTAAAAAATAAGAAATCAATTTATTAAAAAACATATAATACATATTATAAATAACGTACATCTAAGATTGTTTTAAAACATTTCTGAGCAAATGAGTATATAAAGAACCTAATTATTAAACCGTGTTGCCTATTTTTTTCCCAAAAAAATAATCATAAATTACGCTATTCTCATGACCTTAGGTACAATGCGACCAAAAGCGAGTTACTGTTTTTCAAAGCGGATAACAAATTTTATTATACAGTCCCACTAGTCGCCTTGGGGCGCTCAGCTGTCCAGGATGTTGAAGTTCAAATACCTGGGGCATTGCATTGGGTCAACGATAGTCTGACGATGTGAATACGGAAAAGAAAAGCTCGTCATTGTTCTGCAGGTCCAATACAATAACGCATTCAGTGTTTATGTTGGAGCTGCTGCCTTATCGGGGATGTTCGCACAGAATTTTACGCACTGATCTGATGCTAACACGGATAGCATCCCTGATGCAGTGAGTTTGCGACAGCTTCAATAGCTACTAAGCTGTTAGTGCAGTTCTGACGGCTACTATAGGGCATAGTAGCCGTCAGGGTTAATGGATATGTGGCAATGGATGGCCACTCGTCGTGGGTCATACTGTTATTTAAATAATAAGTTGTTTTGTTGGGCCTATGGTCTGAAATAAATTTATTATTCTTGTTTCCTTTCACGGGACCACAGGACCCCAGGCCTTTAGAAGGCGTACGAGGGGCCAAAGTCAAGTTGTCGAGTCCCGTTAAATAATTTTAAATTAAATGTGATAGGACATCAGCAGGCAATTAATTATTATTATTAAATATTCATGGTGTATTCCGCAGAAGTAATTATTGTTACATATTAAATAAAAAAAAACAAAATTTCTTTATAAACATAAAAAAAACCTTTATTTAAAAATATGGAAACAATGGTAATCGAAATCATATGTGTATATTATCGACTTATGTTGTCGTAGATACATATTTTTTATATTCCTCTTAGAACAAACATAATTTATTTGTTTTTTGTCTCTTATAATTTGATTCAGAGGTTTTGTGTGCAAAATGTAGGCGAACATGAATAAATTTGTCAATGACCGCGCGAATAAGCTGCACTCTGTGATCAAATGTGGGATGTTGCTCTAAGGAATGTTGATGTAAACAACTAAATACGTCATTGCAGCCGATAAATGATTTTAAAATACGGTTTTTTAAAATTTGAATATCTCTTTGATCGGAAAGGGTAACGTGACCCATTTCTTTAATGTGGTTTTTAAATATAAATTCTGACTTCAGACATATTTGGAACACATCCTCACTCGAGAAACATAATCCGCCCATAGTTTTTAAAATAATCAATTTATGAAACCACAATTTGTTATTACTATACAGACTATCGATGCACGTCAAACATTTCAATACTGTAGCCAGTTTTCTGGATACCCATCCTGAAATATAGCCGACAATCTGTTTAGTGGTTGTTTTAACGCTTTCTTGATTTAGCATTGCCGAAAACACTGCGACATTTGTTTCAATAACATTTTCTACAGCACTAATAGCCTTGGAGTCGTTCTCGATCGAGTAAATCTCTTCATCCATAGTTCTTCTACTTACTGTAGAATTAATGTTGTCAACTCCAGACGAACATGTTAAAGCAGTGTCTTCTAACGATAGGCAGTTTCCTAAAAACGAAGATTTAGTTTTCGAGCGTTGAAGGATTTTTTTGAAAATCCCCTTAAACTGCATTACGTTTGGATTATTATTATACACCCCGTGTCGCCTGATAGCACCGAACAATATTTCAATGTGATCTTGGGAGAACCTGTGAGTTGCAATATGTTGCAAACGTTGTCCTTCGATCAACGTTGTGTATAGATGTTTTAAACTTTCTATACAAACAAGGAAACCCAAAAAACCTGTTTTATGTTTAGATGCCACAATTTTTTTCTTAATTATTTTTATGGTGATTTTTTTACCAACCTTGTGTCTGTATTTAGTAAAAATGTATAAATTCAATATATATTGTTTCGCTATTTCTAGAAAAACTATGATGTCATTGGCGGTTTTTAGAGACAGAGGTTTTTTCATGCCATACAAGTCAGATGACTTAGAGTTGAAAATTTCAAATAAATGATTGAGCATTTCTATAAAATCTACCGTCCCTTCAGTGTCCACGAAAAGGGAAGACGTTAGAATCTCATCGCACAATTTGAGAGCATTGGCAACACGCATGCTCATGATTTGTGTTGCCAATTTGACTGTCATCACTTGATTTCTAAAATAAATGTGACGAGGGGTGATTTTGTTAGCAAAATTAAGTCCAAAATTTTTTTGAAGCTTAACTAAATTTTCTAATGATTGCCAGCGAATCTTTCTTCCACTCCCGTCAAAAAATTGTCTTTTAGACTCAAATGAATTTCTTACTAATTTAACCATGTGACAAGGGTCAAACATAATTGCAACATCTAAATTACATTCTGGGTGTCCGAATGTTGTTTTTAGGTTTGATGGCTGTTTAAGATCACAACCTAATAATGTAGCTGCATTTATATTAGATGAACAGCCATCAAATGTTATGGCTATAATGTCAACCCCCACACGGTAGCATTCACTTAGACATGTTTTCAGTAAATTTGCACGAGTTTCAGCCGACAGACCATTAACAAGAAAATATGCTACTGGGATTTTCCAACTTTCGTTCATACATACTAATAAAAAAACATATGCCTGAGTCGCTATTTCACACGATTTTGCTGGTCCAGCACCGAAGTCCACGACACCTGCAGTCTTTTTTCCTGTCCACTTAGTTTGGTGACGAAGGGCCATCACGTCTGCAATTAATGCGCACAATATTCGCTGGCCACTATTTTTATATTTCCTTTCTAGAACATCTAACGCATCTTTATTAAATCCGGGATCACCCTTCCTGTTTTCGTACCATTTCCCTACGACGCGAGGATGTGGTAAAGATCCATTAAATATCTGCCTTACATATTTGTATGCAGCTACGGAATAATAGTGCAAGGTGACTGCAAATTTTCTTAACGCTCGAGTATATTTTTGGCGATAGTCCTTAATCTTGCCCTTTTGAGTTAGTCTTTTTATAAATTCTACTGCTTCGGCTTTAAGAATCAGTTCATTGATCTGGTCTATAGTAAAACAATATTTTTGTTGGAGCCCAGAAACTAATTGTTTTAAGTTATTGCATTTGGAAAGTTTAGTAATCTTTTTCTTTAAATTAACTTTCCTAGGCGATTCAAATATTGAACCTTCTTCTGACACTTGAACATGTTCTAAAATCGTCGGTGATGAAAAATAATCTAGACCTTCCTGCTAAAAAAAAAAAATATTTCATGAACACCGATACTTTTAAATAATATGTTTAAAAATGGCGTATAATTTTACCGAAATAATAGGAACAGCAGTCTTTTTTATTCTTCTATAATTTTTTTTCGTCATATATATATCGTCATCTGAGAAATGTTTTGAGCAAACTTTAGTATAGGCAGTTGGCAGCCAATATTTTTCACATCTTTGAGTTTTTATTACATTAAGCCACTTTTGTTTTAATACCCCATCTGTAGGCAATCTAAAATGAAATGAAAAACAATAATTAACTTTTGATTATTAATATGTCTAGATGGACCGTCGCACTACAATCATAACAAAGAAAACGAGTCAACTATTTCAAGCATGTGTGCGTGCAGGCGTCGTTTTACACTGTGCGTCTATGTCTTTGTGTGCGTAAACAATACGGAATAATGATACCAGCTACTACAAATTCTCCCATAAATAACATTAAAAATAGAATAAATAAAAAAAGTTTAGGGTTGTATGTATGTACCTAGTGTTATCCAGTTTTAGTGTATTTTTATAAAGTTGGTGCTGTTTTAAATAAATTAAAGACACTTATTTAATTAAAATTGCGTGGTAGAATGTTGTTCTTGGAAGTCGGGTAGTAAAAAATCTGTTCAGAAGTTATCATATAATTTATAATTTCGCCTAATAATTTCGGAGATAAGACATCTCCGAAATTATTAGGCCTTAAATTAAGAAAATATCCTAAAGATAATATTTACCCATAGATTCCAGGCAAATATATGATTTAAAAAATGATATTTAAAAAAAATGTTTTAGTTGGGAACCCTTTGCACTCGAGTTCAATTTGCATTTGACCAGTAAAACTTTAAAAAGTACATGAACGAAATTGTGTAGACGTAACCATAAACAAACTGATATTTACCCACAAAATTGACGTTAAGTTGGGAGAATGAAAAACAGAAACTGGCAACACTGATAAGACGAAAATAAAATGGCGTCATTTGGTAAGCACAAAAACAAAAAATAAATATGTAATTTTCTTGGCTTATTACTGATGATAGGTGATGTGTTTGGTATTTTTTGCCCTTCCTTTATAATTACGGCACACTTTTATAGCACATACTGTCATTTTATCGCTGTTATTAGTTTTTTCCTTAGCGCGCGTAATGCGTAGTGACAATTAAGCGACACGATATGTACTGATCGGCGGGTAAGCACCTGTCGGCCAATAGTTGGACGACACTTTTTGACATGTTTGCGCGCACTTGACACTAGACATATTAATAATCAAAATAATTAACATAGATCACAACAATATTATAAATTCTGACAACAAAAAAACCAGTGTCCCAACCTCCTGACGTCACATGACTGACAAACTTCATGCGCCGGCCGCCATTAGACAGCGTCGAACAGAATAAAAAAAAATGTTTTATAAACTTACGCGTGAAATGACACATTTTTGCCTTGCACTTTTAAGGTATAATTTGTACATCCTCTGAAAACACACGACGGCATGTTTTCTTTGTGCTGCACAAGTTTTCACACAATATAAATCTAGAACAAACAAGCGTAGCGTTGCAGGAAAGGTTGGTGCGTGACTGACTGTGATGTGGCCAATTATCTTCATTTCATGTTGTCATAGAGTACGGACAACGCGTCTATGGTTTTAAACATCATAGATTATGTAGAAAAAATTTATTTAATTCGTCCTTCTTACTTTTAGATCTCTATAACTTTCCATCAATATACTATACATGTCTGGAATAAATTGATGTATAATAGTTGCAATGTCCTAGACTTGCTTATTAATGTCTGATTTATCTTTTCAGGCTTCACTAAACGAATTGATAAGCGGCTTACAAGAACTGACCGCTCAAATTGATTTGCCACAAGACTTCGCAGAAGAGAACACTATCATTATAAGTGATGACACGGTTGTTGAACATCACACATTGTGCGGCGATTGATCCGGTACTTATAATTATTTTAAAGCATTTCCTGTGGAATTTTTCTATTTAGTACAGTTAGTATTAAATTAAAATTAAAATTGTTCTGCACCCTAAGCTGCTGGTAATTTCGGTATTGGCGTCTTGCAAGAGTACCTTTGGATTGTTTATAAATTCTGAAATGGTTATTTAGAATATTAAGAATGTCTTGACATAGCATGTAAAGGAGAATGAATCCACAGCAAATGTTTAGGATATAATAATATATGTTACCCAGTATTTTAGTTTTATGTAATATTTAATTTTTAATATATGAACTTGTAATTTAATAATGGCATGTCTGAATTTTGTAATGCATTATATTATATAATTCTGTTAGTAGATGTTATCATAAGTATAAGAATTATCAAAATTATTTTAAATTAAGTCCGTCCTTTGAGGCCTTCTTGCTCTGCCATACTTCCCTGCGAACATTGGTGTCAAGTACGACCGGTTTGTTTGCTCCAGTTCTCGATAGCCAGGGAGAGCGGGGTATCTTTGTCATCTTAATTTCTTTTAATATTGTGATATTTGGTGAGGTGGATATAAAGAAATAATAAAAAATAGGTTTCATTTATATCATTTATTATTTTCTTAACTATATTTATTATTCCAATCGTTTTTCCTATTTTTTTTAATCATTGTATCTAAGAGATTCGACTGCCGATCGCAGTTATCCATTAGAAATGACCTTTTAAAAATATTGCCTACAACTTATAAAACTAAAATGCATTTCCACTTACAATAAAGTCATTAAACACCGCAAAATGATAATAATCTTTAATATATACAGGACTAAATTTGACGATCCGTAGAGTTCACGTGGTTATTTGTTGCTAGTAAATATACATGCGGTCTTTTGCAGTAAACCCCGTTTGTTGAGGATGTAGACAGAAGTGCGGGAAATAGAATAATAACATTATCCACATAAAACAATTTAAATCGGGTGTTCAAATAGGAAAGCGTTGGTCCTTTCGAGAGGTTTACTATAAAAGACTGCCAACAATACATCGAACTTGGTGTATTTATTTATATTATGATTATATCTCATACGCAAAGAAAAATATCAGAGTTGATCAATGTTACCAAAATATGCACGAAATGGCTAGAATATGCACCATGAAGCCATAATATGTTCTGTACATGTTTATTGTGCCAAGATTATAATTAGGATTCCAGATAAAAAAACTTTTCAGAAAGTTTCTGGAGAAACGTTTTTACGATCTTCATCATACAAAATAATATACAAAATTTACTGATACCCCACAGAAAGACAAAAGGGAAACGTGATTGAAATAATAGTAATAATAACAACATAGATTTATTAGGGTTTCTCCAGGCAATTGCTATTGATACAATATTTTCAAACATTCAATATTAAAACAAAAAATAAAATTGTGATTTATCAGTAAATTTCTACATAAATAATAAAATGTATTGATATATCGATTTCATCAATATATGTTAATTTATACGCTTGTTCTGTCTTACGTCTGATATTTTAAACACTCAATGTGAGTGTACGATTATACCAATGTCTGGATTTTCGTTGTGTTCGATCAATTGCTATTCGATTATTTGGCATTCGATATGGCGTAGTACACCCTATATCTCTTGCTAACATTGCACATTCACACACCTCGCATTTGGCAGTTTATCTTAGTCATTCTCACGATTAGTCAATATTCACATAAAACTCTTGCAATCAATACTAAAGTGCAGCATACCGAAATGCTGCGTAAGAATATTTTTTATCATAAAATGTACAATATTATTATTTAGGGAGATAAAATGTGAATATTAACATTGTTATAAGTGAGCTCCACTCGGGCTGTCTACCTTGCCGTACATTCTACATTTATGAAAAACTCTTATTAAAATGGAAGTACTTACACATCTTTTATAAAGGTTACAATATAACTAATTGGATCAAAATGGCTGACAAATTTGTTTAAAGTGCTTTGAAAAATACTATTTTCATGAATTCATGGAATTACCTATCATCTATAAGTCCTATAGTCGCAAAAGAAGACATTGTGGAGACACGATTCGCAAAATACGCAGTCTAAATAACCTAGAAATGAAATAAAATAAAATTGCTCCAAAATATTATAGCTAAATATCTGACACATTTGTTATGGTTGCGATGCGTCGTATAATATATACACACACTCACACAATTTTTACAATAGGAATTAAAACATTAAACTAAAGTAAACCAGTCGCTTAATGAGCTATAAAATAGATTGCCAACGATACACTGGCCTTACACGGGCCGCGTCGAGGCACGGCCCGTCGAATGCTATTGTTATGACAACAATGACATCTCTAACATCTTTATCAGTAATTGCCGAGGCTCGTGAGTTATTTTTAATTTGAAGTTGTTCATTCTAAATTATTTAATAACAAGTCAAATACGATTCTCTGCTATGGACAGAAAATTCAGAGCAGAGAACGTACTCAAAAGAGATCAATATGGCTTTATTCATGTGGCTTGCATTAAGAGTTGAACAATGTTATTAACACAGGTTTTGGCATTATTTAATGCCACATTTTACTTATAAATATCTATCGTATATAAATTGTCCATATTTGTCGGTAACAGAATAGTACCATGGTCTTTTACCATAAACTTTACAGAACAGAATGGGTCACAGTTCACATCCCATCACCACTATTAATTGAGGTTCCAAAATCGACATACAACGCATGAATACAATTATGTGAAAGAGTAATTAATGCATTGAATTCAGAGAATTGTTTGCTGATTTCAATTTGTCATTAAAGTAAAATTATCACAGATAACATTAAAATAAAAGAAGGGGTAATCATGTTGGAATTACTGCAGGGTGTGTTAAAACAATTTCAACTAAATCTAAAGATTACAGGTTTTTGTGTGCTTATAATAAATTACATATTTTTGTATTCAGTGCCGTTATCGCGATCGGCATCGAGTTGCGTGAACTCAATAGTTGTATGTTAGAAACGATTACTTCCATCAACGCAAACCGCACAGACGTTTGAAATGTTTGTTGCACACTCGACACTCGACGCTCACCGCGACACTTCGTCACTAAATTCTAATATGTCAGAATTAATCCTTGAGTTCATCTAAAAAGTTCATCGCTTTTGTGGACACTTCATGTCGGACAATATCGTTTATTCTTAATTACAGATTTGACCTGCTACAACATTATCTTTGTCTATTTTGTTTGTACCCCTCGTACTCGTGTGCTTGGAAGTCATAGTTGCCGCCAACCGTAAAGTATTCAAGTCACAAAGTTACTGCGGCGGCACTCGGGCAGACGAGGACTAGTCATCGGTTAGGAATCTTTCTTCGGTCGAATCACGGTTCCTGCCGGCGATGCTCTAGTGCTACAGTGCATAGGAAAGTCGGCCGACCTGCCCTGGATGAAACGTCACGATCTCTGTGTGAACTCGGGGCGCCGTCGCAGTCCACCTCGTCGGGTTAAGTACGTGAAGCATTGTAGAGGGAATTCTAATGTGTGGTGGGGGCGGCGGGGTCGGGGCGCGGGGCGCGGGGCTAGGGCGCGCGGTACAGCAGGTAGGCCGTCAGCGCCGGCGGCAGCGCCAGCCGGGACGCCACCACGCGCAGCCGCGACCGCCCCACGCGCTGCCGGATCACGCGCCGGCACAGCTCCATCAGCGGGAGCGGCTCCGCTGGAACAACAAGCCGCATATTGTACATAACGACTGGGGAAACGTTGACACATTGTTTGTGGCACGTAAAGATTCCATAACTTTTATGCATGCAACTAGTCTTATCAAAAAACTCAAAAGTTAGCAGACATTTGAGCTTCCTTTAGCAAAACTTAATATAAATAGACGAGGTTAATGTATTGTCAAATAATAGTACACTCACGATCTAATCCTCCGATGTACTTCATAGTTATCTCGGCGTGTCCCCATACAGCGGACACGATGGGGTATAACGTCTTGCCACGAAGGCCACGCGCCGCGACGCCTAGGTATCGCCCGTCTGCGCAGAACGCCAGCGTGCCCTCGTCCATGTCTAGCACTACCAGTAGTCTGTCAGGGACTAGGAACTGCTCGTCGGGCCTTAGTAGCGCGGGATACGTCGTGCCGCTACCCACTGTGCCCTTTACATTATGGTAAATCTGAAACATTAGAGACTCCCATGAATTCTTGTCAATTGACTATCTACCTTGTCTACCCAAGTCAATTATCATTCAAGTGATCAAGTGTAATGCAATGACAATGCCTGACCGTGCTCCAGTTACTCTATATACGCCAAATATTTATGAGTTTTATTTAATACGAAATAAATGTATTTCTTTATTTTTGACATATTTAAATATCTGAAGTTATTATACCTTATTTTTAAGAGTACTTCTAAGGAAATTCATGGCATTCGCTATTTATGTTGTTCTTTGTTTACACACCATATTACTTGGTCTTCTATTATTTTATTTATAGGAATGTATTCGAAACAATATTGGTATAACGTATACAAGCTTAATCTAGAAGAACATGTACGTAGTAAACTTGTGCTTGATGACAGACACCACTATTGCTATACCTAGGTATACCTAGGTATAGCAATAGTTTAATAATTAAGTATAATTGTCTGTAAAGCAATTCAAATTTAGAAACTTCTTGGTATACTTGTAATTATAAACCTATTTTAGAGTGTTACAATAACAAATCCCTATAGAGACGAATCTGACATTGTCCTTTCTAAGTTAATAACGTCCAAGTGGCTATTTCGAAACATATACGTTATTATGACCAACATACCTTATTTCTTCCCAAATCCCAGCCCCAACTCTGGTCCGTAGCGCCTACTAGACTTTGGTAGCCGACAGAATGTAATGGCGCATGCGCCGTGGCCACGCCTACTACCGCATGCGTCCCCCGCTGTCGCGCCGGCCATACTACTTCCCAACAGTGCAAGCCCCGAGAGTAACCCACCCGCCCTCTGATGCAGTCCGTGCTTTGGGCAACTGGGTGTCGGTGAAACGTTAAAGCATCCTCTTCTTTTACAAATATATTTAGTGATCTGGAAAATAATAAAGGGTATGTTATTTACATGAAATATATACATAAAAGCTGTCTTGGCTATTTCAATTTATTTCATATTTTGTTTAGTGTTTAGTGCTTATAACGGGATAGAAATCGTACCTGTTGTCTTTTTTTTTCAGGAGAAAATCATCATATGAATTCTCCCGCCCAGGGTAAGGCGAGAGTGTCAGACTCTCACTGATTAAAAACCCCCCGTTCTTTCTCCTACTCGAGACCAAGGCCGCGGTGCCGCTTTGCGCTTGCCCCGCAACCTCGGCTGAACATCAGCCCTATAGGGCCCCATCGGTGGTGGTCCCATTGGCTCTTTGTGCTTATAACGACATAGAATTCGTACCTGTCGTCTGGGTTCCACGCGTGTTTGAGCTGTAGCTCGGGGTGCGCAGGAGGCGCGTCGAGAAGCGCGTCCAGACGCGCGGGTCGCGGCGGCTCGGGCGCCAGCTCGCGCGCAACTACCGCCTGGAAAAATTGATGGCATTAAGTAAATGAAGTTCGTTATCGTATCATAACGTGAATAATGTAGATGAGTACAGATTTTCTTTCTTAAACCCTTAGTCAGTCAACTGGGAGAGTGTGCCATATGGCATAGTCCGCCTATTGTATCGTTATCATTTTGTGTACATAAAACAATAAATACACTCCAATTACTTTGAGCACCTTCAAAATAGGACTAGAATTAACGGTAATTCGTCATCCATTTACTGGTTAAAGAGTAGCTTTTAAGTATACTTAAGAATAAAATGTGTGTACCTTGAAGGGCGCCGTGCACTCGCGCGACACCGACTTTACTCCGCCGGAAAGCTTTTGCCCCATGTTCATGCCCCTACAGCGAGTGCGGGCGCGCTTGGGCAGCGCCTTGAGGCCGCCGCGCCGCGCCTCTTCTGCGCCGCCGCCGCCGCCGCCCCCGCCCCCGCCCCTCACTGAGCGCACCCCGCTCTTGTACCTGAAGCAACAACAAACAATTATAAGATACAAATATATGCAAATCACCCTGCTACCTAACGACAATTCCTAGGGACAAGATATCTCAAAGAATATTTTCACACATGTTGTATATGCTGCGCAACAATCACTTCCTGGCGGATACGTTCAATAATAGATGGTTATACAAATGTATTGTCAAAGTTCGAAGAAACCAGTTTCTAAGTGACCGGTGAGTGGTGGTGTCGTCACAGCAGATGCCGGGCGTCGGCGGAGTACCCGCGCATCTTATGTAACGCCGGCCGTCTAACCGTGAAAGTCACCGCTCAAAAGCCAAGGTTAACACGGCCATGGAACCTCGTTCCAACACATGCGAATGTTCTATGATCGCTTCTTGTTAATAGATTTATTTTAATTGCTGTTTATTTTTCCTCCGTCGTGATGTCATGTAATTGTTCAGTTACTTCTTGATGAATATCTAGTTTATGTTTGTCGCAATACACAGAACTTCCAAATATTTGCTAGGTACATTGTTACATTGCAAATGGTCACGCGCGCTTGATTAGTCCATACAGCTGTAACAATCATGGGGTGATGTCATCGAAGGACACTAATAATATAATAGTGTTACTAAAAGTATTAAGAACAATATTATTATATATTATTTTTAACAAGGTATGATATCATTGCCATGGGATTCATTAGCTTCCTATGTTATTGCTGTATTCAGCTTCAAGGGGAATGTCAGTAAACTATTATAAATTACGGACAGTAATTGATTGTCGATAGTTTTTTTAGTATTCATTAGTTATTGGGCTCGTGGTTTGCATGTGATTTAGTGTTCAATCTATGTAGGATGAGAGGGACGCCTAGAAGGTACGCAAGCTACAAGGCCGTCTGCCTTTCCGTCGCCTAGAGCGGTATCTTGACAAAAGCGGGAAGTGAAAGGCAGTGAATGCGTCCCCTCACGTCGCACTGCCTCTTTGCTACGTTCCTAAACCGCCGTTTCGTACAATACCGAAATTTTAAATGACGATTACAAATATTATTCATCGAAATCATATAGTAAAGTATTGCTTTAAATTATGGACTAAAATTGTGAAATTCTTCCCTGAAATTCACATTTCCTGGATAGCCACTATCTACTAGATACATTTTAATATAGGAAGTAATTTGTATGGAGTGTCGGATATATAAATTTATTGGGTAGTTATACGAGGGTGGTGAAATAGGCCCTAAATATAACATAATGCGACCAGCTGCTGAAATTAACCAATATGTTTATAATGTAGCATCTGTTAATATTTGACCGACAGAGATAATCTGGAGAGTTCACGTGGCGGACAGTAAACAAATAGTGGGGACACGTGATCAACCGATCTCTGACGTCTTCCTCCACGTGTGCTAATTCAAATAACGATTACCAATTTTTTTATTTAAAATGCGAAACATTACCTATGAACATGCATATTATCATGGAAAATGTGTGTAATACAGCATCATGTACATGAAACAGCAATAACATCTCTTTAATATTGTAACGTCAGATGCTATTATGGGGCAAAAGAGGTCGCTGTACCAGTATGGCAAAATTTACAATTCTTCAGACTTTTGAAGTTCGAAATAAACGCTGTCAAGTGTGGTGCTCGCACGCTCGGTGAGAGGTGAATGGAACACTGGAAGAGAACGTTGCTAGGCCGACAGCATTAGCGTGTGCCAACGTGCGCGAACAATGAACTAGCTGAGTGACGTACACTCTACTGTATCACTACCTAATGTAAATATGAAATCCTAAAACTAAATATGTACTTCGAATATAATCACAAACTTGAGACAAAAAATCAAGAAGAATGACATTTTCAGAAGGTATTTAGGAAAACTACGTTAATTTCTCAATAAATTTCAGAGATTCGGCAGAACTGTTAACGTAACCACGTATAGGTACTACATACTGTACGTGCCTATCTTTATTATTTTAGGAATTTAACTACTTCAAAAGTTAAGTTCGAAGGATTCTATGCACACGAATCATTGAAGCAAAACGTAATTAAATGGTATTATGTAGTTACAACAACCTTACAAGTACATGCTTGAATAATAATAATTGCGAATGTTCTACTGGAGGTTGTTCATCGCTAAGACATAAATTGCACTGTAATAGATACAGCAAAAATTTATAGGCATTGTGAGAAGAGCCAACACATTTCAAGTTCAACGTATAATTACAGAAAAGCTTGTGCGAAAACAAAGACGAGTGTTAGTAGCATCCGACTTAGCAATCCGGGAGCCAATATTATGTATTGTATGTTACATGCGCAATTAACAGATTTTTCTATAAATTCCGGGCTGACATTTCTCATAATTTTAAAATTTTTTGTCTATTCATCCGTCTATCTATTTGCATTTGAGTCAAAATTCAATCGATGTAGTGTGTAATAAAACTCTGATTGCCGAAATTTTAATTTGTAACGCAAACAAAAGTGTCATCTACATGCGAAATTGAAACGCTGTTCCGAAACTAAATTGAATTCAGAACCAACGGGAATGGGAGGATTAATTGTTAATTGAATCACAGCATGTGCATTTATTATTTAACCGAATTTAAAACGATACGACGCCAGACAGTGCTTAATGAGAATTGAAGAGGATATTGTAAATAAGATATTGTATTTCAAACCCCCACTTATTTTACTGCGAAAAACATTTATTGCGAATTAAAATTAAAAATGTAATTATTTCTTGCTCATTACAAGTGTTATTATAAAAAAACAAGGTTCGCCTGCGTGAACATACTTTAGCATTTCTCTTGACAGCTGTAGAAAGCGACGATTTCGATTCTTGGGTCATCTTACGAAAGAGTCACCGAACGATGTCGTGCCATCTGGAGGTATGCGTTTAATTTTTAACCTGGCCTTTATGTGCTTATTATTATACTTTAATTTCAACAGTAAAGAGCACGTCCCAAAAAGTTACCTTTGGATAATTTCTCATTTATACATATTGTGCCAATTTTTCTTCAATCTTGTTTCAAAAATGTAAATGGGCGATGATAATTTATTTTTTATGCAAAATAGGTAGTTTTCAACATACCGTGTTTATAGGATGCATTAAACGCACAGGATTGAACATTTTTATGAGTATCTTTGATGTGTGCTCACACAGATTAATATATTTTTTCCTGTCATGTCTGACTTCTTTAGTTTCGAAAAAGCTGCTGAACTATCTCTGGTTTAAATAACAATTAAATAATTGCTAGGGCGTGTCGCTTCAACCTTGTATCGGTTGCCGCGTTGCAACAGGGCCTTGTGTCAAGGAAAAACCTACTTAGCGGTTTCCCTGGCCCCGAACAGAAGAGAACTTTTTCATTCTAGTATTTTTTTCAGAAAACTTGCTTTCTTCTTTTTGTAACTTCTCATTGGTTGAATTTCAGATCGGCTAAATGCCCGATCTATGAGTAGTTTACCCGTACCCGTGTTTATCGACGTTGTTGATGGAGTTGTGTATTTTAGAGCCTACTTTTCCTGCCGAAGTTTTTGTTTCGCTATGAAGAGTGTGTTATGTATGGTCGGGTTTGTATGCCGTCGCGGTGCATTAGTCGACAAGTTGTATGATATAAGAGGTGTTGAATAACGATAGTGGTGGGTGACGATTACATAACGAAACGGTATGACGCGGCGCGTGCATGCTGCGGTGCACTGCGCGGCTCCTCGTGTCAAGGATGTCTTTACTTCGCTATATTATAAAGAAGCTATCGTGCCATGGTCAAACATCACCTAAGAATATCTTTCTATAAATAATATAGATGTGATTTACATTTTTTTGGAAATAAACAGGAAACTCGAACCTAAACGAAAGCTTTATCCTTTTTACGTTGTGTACAAAGCAATTAGTCACAGAAATACAGAAATAACAAACAGGTAAATTTAAATTATTGTAATACTACGGGCGTAGGGGAAATCCAGAATATTTTAGAAACGTCACACCATGAGATATAATTCGACGAATATAGAAAATGTCACGTATAGCGTATTTAAAGTCATTACCTAAATGATTATAGAAATCTAGTTATTTTTGATTGAGGAGTTTTGATTGATTGTGATATTGTTTGTTCATTAAGTGGGAGTGCGTTTTGTCGGGTCGAGCGCATGCGCAGCAGTCGAGGGCCTTGACTGCAATGCGCGCGCGCCGTAGCGTGTCAAGGGAGCGCTGCTTTCGCTGCCACACCTGCACCCGGTCTATACAGACATGACGAAGAAAAAACCTAATAAGGTAATTAAAGTGTTGAATTTTAAGTTTTGCCAAGAAATAATTTATATGGGTTAAAATTTAGTGTAGTATTTCGGAATAGTATTAAGCAAAAAAAGGATTTCAAAAGCTACATCTAGAAGGAAGTTCACGAGGATAATTAAACGAGAATCTGGGTCATTCGATATCACCTCAACATTAGAACACAATGGCTTAACAATATGAAGGCAAAAACAATTTAACTAAGGCCTTCATCGTGTAAATGTGTAGGCCCTAACGTGTCATGTAAATTGCTTATAGTCGTCCTCATATATTTATGCATGAATATGTTAGTATGAAGCTAATTATTAGCTAATTATGTGCTCACAAAACGATCATTAAGTTGAAACTACGTTTTGTCTAAAAGTAAATCTCTGAATCTCTTGCCTCCAGAGAGCAAAATGAATGGCAACACTCAATTACGTTGAATCACGGCGCGAGAAGATTCCGATTTCCAGTCCAATCGTGCGAACCAAACAAGGGCTGGTGTAAATAAATCTAAAACCCAAATTGGAGGCGAGACCCGAAGTATAAAGAAGTATCTTACGAAGACAAAGCCGAGCAATCTTCTAAGTGGTCTGGAAGGCCGGCGCGGAAACAAAGCCACCCTACACCCCGCCTACGCTACGCGGGCGCCTCCACAGATAAGAACCCCTCCGCTTTTAAATGCCTTTAGCACCACTGAATGAGTCCGTGTCTGAGGAATCCAATGAGAGTCTTAGCAATAACTTCTTTGGC